TGCAGTTACGACTAGCCATTGACAGGCTTGTCCTCCATGAATTTCTCTGGTCCCCTTTTAAAGCCAGTCATTGGAGTCCATCACCACATATTGTGGAGCTACTTCCATAGTTGGTGCAAACCTTGCTTGTCCTCCAACATTTAGCTTCATGGAATAATATTAGGTTCTTGTATTAAGAGAGAAGAAATCCTTCTCTCTATAGACCTTTTCCACATCATGCATCATTTTTCACTCTACTAGGCCTCCTGACTTCACAATTTTTGTAAACTAAACAGCCCCAAACAGTCTCTTTCCACAAAAGGGAGTTGCCCCAGGCCCTTTATCATTTTGGTTGCCCTTTTCATAATGTCTGGGGAGAGAAAACGAAATGAAACAATCACAACGGAAGAGATGTGAATTGGCCCTAAGTGCTAGTACAGCAAAATTAAGCTAGGCAAATGAGTCCTTGGAGGGCAAGTATGATTTTGTCAGACAAAATTAAGGGAATCTTTGAGATAGGTTTGAAGCACTTTGCATTTAGGATGTGTGTGTGTTTTTAACAAGTGATATTAAGAATGCTATGCAGCCCTGTCATTTGTGAATATCCATCATTTGAAAAAATGACTGTACTAATCTGGTTTCAGGGTCAATGTACCTCAATAAAGCCATACAAATACAATACTTGATTAATGTTTGCAAGTAAAGCAACTTGTATTTCTTGAGACCTCCCTTTTTCAAATAACACAATATAGCTGCACAAAAGTAATCAGGGTCAACGATATCAACAATATAAGTTACAAAAATGGAAACATATAGTATGTGGCGTCTAACAGGCCCCAAAATTTTTAAAAACATTGCCACCAGCAAAAGAAATATTTATGTTAATTTATGTTTCAATTTATGCACATTTCTGTTGTTTTCTTATATTGTCCATTTTGTTAGTACTTAACTGAAAACATTGTTTTGTCAGTACTTAATGGAAAACCTCAGTAAACAAACAGTAAAATAAAGCAGCATAATGTGCCATTAACATTCATATAACTTAATTATAACAGTTGCACAAGTATAACAGTGCAATAATTACAAGTTGTGAATTACCACTAACAACAACAAATCTCACAGACCTTGCAGTCATATCACAAAGCACCTACGCAACCTAAATCACCACATTTCACAACTAGATGAGCAGGGCAGACAAAACAGTTACATGAAGCACCTCATTGCTGTGATCTTCTGCAATTGTGTCAACTGCAGAGACCACACCTCCTCCTTTTCTTGCTGTCAGGAGTTGCAGGCCTGACCAGTTCCAAGGCTGTATTTCTTGAAAGTCCAGAGAAGGCTCAACCCATGGTTTCATAAACTCTAGGTCTCCTAAACAAGAACAGCTTGTGATGTTCATGCCGCCGTGGGTTGTTCAGCTTTCAGACAATACAGTGGTACCTCGGGTTAAGTACTTAATTCGTTCCGGAGGTCTGTTCTTAACCTGAAACTGTTGTTAACCTGAAGCACCACTTTAGCTAATGGGGCCTCCTGCTGCCGCCGCGCTGACGGAGCCCGATTTCTGTTCTTATCCTGAAGCAAAGTTCTTAACCTGAAGCACTATTTCTGGGTTAGCGGAGTGTGTAACCTGAAGCATATGTAACCTGAAGCGTATGTAACCTGAGGTACCACTGTACATTAGAAAAAACTCCACTGGCCACTGTTTGATCAGGTGTTTGGAAGTGTATGCATAGAGTGTCTGGCCACTGGTTCAGAGCAGCTCATCTGCCAGCCTGGGCCTTCAAATCTGCAGAAGAATCCTGCCTGTAGGCATCTCAGCATCCATGATTCATTGTGTGACAACACAGAGTGAGGCCTTACAGAGCTGGGCCTTATGGCTTCCTGCTTGTGGGACTTCCTCTCATTGGAGATACAGTTGACTCCCATATTACCAGCTTTTCAAAACTGTGTAGAGACGTATATTTTCCTTCAGGACACTGGGACTGGCTGAGCTAATAAATTGTCTTTTTGTTGCAGCTTAGTTGTTTTTATGACAAGTATTGGCTTTATGTTATGTTGATGTGCAGCACTATATCTTAATGTAATGTGATATGCTGCCCTGGGATTCTTCAGATTGAAGGGCTGGTTATTAAATTTACTTATTTATTTTGACAACGTATATACCACTTCATTACAGTTGTTTCTCAAGTGGTGTACAGTGAACTCAACAAATATAATATAGATTAAAAAAATCAACAAAAAACAGTAAATTAAGGAATGCCTGCTTTTTCTTTTTTTTTTAGTCTTCAGTAAGTCCTGGTAGCTCAACAAGGAGGGGACCTGTGTGATCTCACTAGAAGAGAGTTCTTCGAAATTGGGTTCACACAACAGAATGCACAACTTCTGCGGGATATGGCTGTGCATCCATTAATAGTGACTCCTCCAAAAACCAGTGATATAAGGAACCAGGTAGTGCTTAAAGTATCTTGGACCCAACTTTGTAAATTAATATGGAAACCTTGAACCTGTATGTGTAGTGCAATAAATAAATAAAGAACAAATAAGTGGATGAAGACTACCTAGAGAACATAAGAGTTCCAGAAGACTGACACCAAGTTTTATTATTATTTTCTCAATGCCATTGACCCCACCTGTTGACAGAGGGTTAACATGGGGTATATAACACAGAAGAAAGCTATTTTAAAAAATGAGCATACATTGTAGAAAATGCAGTTTTAATTTCACACTAGAGATATGGGAAGTGCAAAAAAAAAATCCTTCTGGAATCTTTTTGGCATATGTTTTAAAATGCAGTTTATCTTTATTTTCAGAAAAATTCACCTTTTAAAAAATACCACCCTTGGGGCTATTTTTTAATTCCCCCCTCCCAAACTCCAAATATGGGTAGACTGTCCTGCTTTAATTTTCCTTGATGCCAAGCACCATAATTAATAACTGATTCTGCTACCTCTGGAATGAAAAGTAATCAGAAAGAAAGAAAGAAGCCTAAAAATAGGGAGAGACTTCAGCTGCTCCTTCTTCCCCTTCACGTTGCCATTACGATGTGTGAGAGAGGAGATACCGATGCACCTCGGAGATGCTTCTTTTGTGGTTCGGAGGAGAAAGGGGGAGAGATGGGGGCGGCGGCGGCGGCGGCAGACGCGATCCTCGCTGCTACCTTTCCCAGAGGCTGAGGCACAGCAGCGAAGGAAGAGCAGGCACCCCGGCGGCGGCGGCGGCAGCAGCAGCAGTTTCCCCTTTCCCCGGCCCTGACTCTACGGGCGCATGCTCACTTGTGCCCGCAGCCCTGGACCATATTTGTCAGGACTCCTCGAGAGACGGAGAAAAAAAAATAAAGAGAGAGAGAGAGAATTTGGGGGGGTAAGGAAGCGCCTGGTTCCGACCTGATTGCTAACCCATTAACTGCAATGCACAACGCCGAGGGGTTGCCTTTCCATTGCCTCCCTTTGGCTGAGGATGAAAGTTAAGAGAGAGAGAGATAAAGGGAAGCAAGCGCACCTCCTCTGCCTCCCTTATGAACCGGGAGGAGGAGCGCGCGCGAGCGGGGGGGGGGGGAGAGAAACAGAAGAGAATTTTCTCCATAAAGGTGCGGGGGGGGGGGCGGGCGCGCAGAGGGAAGAGTTCCAGCACAGCCTCTCGCCCAGGGGATGGGACCCGAGGTGGTGGGGGAAAGTGGCCCAGCGCCTGCGAAGTGGCCGGGGAGTGTGGGTCGGCCACGGGGGGTTCCTTCCCTAAAAAAGCCCCTAAGTGCGTGAGAGTGAAAGAGGAACAAAAGAGTGGGCGAGGGAGAGCGAGAGAGAGGTGCCTTCGGCGTCCGCGCCCCCCACCCCGCTCGCTTCTTCCCCAACATATGACGGGTAAATTGTGGGGAGAAAAGGGAGGAGGTGGAGGCTGGAGCGGCCGTGGAAATGAGGAGGGCATTTCGCAGCCCCGCACGTCTTGGCGGGCGGAGACCGGCGGGGAGGGGGGGGCGGCGGCGGCGGTTCTGCGGCGTCCTGCCGCCCCGCCACTGGGGAGCCGGCCCGGGTTTTTTGACACTTCCCCGGGAGTGTCTACGGAAGGGGGACGGCGCCGCCGCGACAGGGATTTGGGGGAGAGAGGGGTGCGGGTTGCGGAGGGGCCGCCGCAGCCGCTCGCTCGCTCCGTTTTTGTTTACGGGGTTCCCTCAGCCGAGGGAGGGATGGAGGCTGGAAGCGCGCGGGGAGGAGGAGGGACGGACTTTTCCCACCCAGATTTGGCTGCAGCGGGATATACCGGTTGCATGTGTAACGTGTGTCGTGTCTCCCCTCCTGGAGAAGGGAAGGGGGGGAGGCCTGCTCGGATCAGCGCGCACGGGCAGCTTCTGAGGGTGTGTTCCCCCCCTTCTTTTTCGTCAAAGGATTATTATTATTATTATTATTAATACTGTCTCTCCTCCCTCTTGTCTCCCCTTTGCAGCTTCTGGACTTTGTGGCGGGCGCGAGCGCGCGGCGTCGGCGTGTGCATGTGTGTGCCGATATATAGAAATATAATACTGAGCTCCCCAATTCCGCCATTTTGGGCAAACTTTGCACACGCACGCACACACCACACGCGCAGCAGAGACGCTCCTCGCAGTTAGGAGTGGGAGGGAGCGTGTGTGGAAGGGGTGGGGGGAACTCTTGCTCCCCGTGCATGTCTTCTCACTTAAGCGTAAACATAGGTAGGAATTGGGGGCAGCAAATAAACCCCCGTGGGAGATGCGGGGATTTTTTCTCTCTTTTGCGCGCGCGCGCGTGAGTGAGGGTGGGAGAGGTGTGTTTGCATCACATGAACGTGGCTCGTGTGAATTAAGCCAAGCTAGCAGCACACCCGGGTTCCTAATACTCTGCAACAACGCCGCCCGCTTGCCTATATATTCCCCGCTTCCTGTAGTAGCCCTTTACCCATGATGAGCTGCAAACTGACACACTTGTTCCTAGCTCTTCGTGGGGGAGATGGGAAGGCGCTCGGCCCGGGCTCCCCATAACTGAGGGTCCGTAAGTGTGTGTGTGTAGGGGGGACGGGACTCAAGCCTGCTCTGTGGTATGTTGCTGTGGAAGATAACAGGAGGCGCGTGGGTGGGTGGGGGTGTTCTCCCGGAGCCCCCTCCCCTTTTATTCTCACACGCGCACAGCAGAAGGAGGAAGTGGGTGAGGAGAAAACTTTGAAAGGGCCGAGCCAACTCCAAAGGGGACCTTCTCAGAAGCGCCTGGCTAAGGGTGGGTGAAAGGGGGCCGGGCTGAGGAGACCAGAAGCAGAGAGAGAGAGAAAGGAGACGCCTTCTCCTCAAGGAGGGTGATTTCTCTTACGAGCTCGGGAAAGAGAACTAATCCAGAGAGGGAAAGAACCCAGAACCGTTTCTTCTCCCCTCGGAAGAGAGAACAGTCCCGGCCCTTCCTGAAAGTGGGGAGTGCGGGAAGAGAAGGGTAAAAAACAAAAAATGCCTCGAGTTTGTTTTAGGCAACCTCCCCTTCCCGGTTTCCGTCGCAGGCTCCGCAAGAAAAAAACGGGACCCGATTAACAAACAAGAGCAGTGCCTTTCTCTTATTATGCAACTTCCTCAGCCGGGGCAGCCGGCCTCTCTCTTTTTCTCTTTCTTTCTTTTCCTTCCCACACGCTTATACACCTTTTGCTCGCCGTGCAACGGCCTCGCCGCCCTCCCCTTGGGCATTTCCTTTCAGAGACAGTGGAGGCGTCGAGGTTATTTCAGGAGCCCCCTCGGAAAGCTGGCTCGCGGTACTTTCTGCTCTTTTGCCAAAGGAGGCGAACGGAGAACCTGGGCAGGGGGCTGGGGGGGGGTGGAACCCTGTTTTGTAGCCTGAAGCGTAGTTTGAATTTGGTAGTTTTTGTTACAGTGGCTTCGTTGCGCCGAGAAGTTGCATGTGAAGGACCTGCGCCTCTCTTCGACCCCTTCCGCCGCTCTTCTTAATTTTAGGACGGGGGGGGGGAGAGAGAGAATATGTAGTATCCTTAGTGATCACAGTGTTCTCCAGAAAAGTTTCAAGTGCAGCAAAATACGCTATTCCAAAACTGGCCAAGGAGGGACCCCTACTGGTGGAACGGAGGTATCCACCCTGGGGATGAAAGTTCAAATTCTGGCCTCCAAGTTTTGCCGTGATTGCACTTCAGAGTTCAGAAATTGGTGAGGTATATTCCAAAGGAATGGTTTGAAGATAGGGTTTTTTTTTGCTGCTTCCCCCTTCCATACCATTTCTGTTAATACAGTGTTTTCTGATCTATATGAAATGTAGATATATAATGAAGAATGTTTCTTAGGATTATTATGAGACTAAACTTTCATTTTGAATACTCACACCGAACATAATAAACACATCTGTATTCATTTCTCCTCCCTCTTTTCACATCGGTTTCCTAAAAGTGTTAGATCAGTCAGTTTCACTTTCCTGTCTAGTGCATTTCTGTTGATACAGGACAACTTCAGATCGCCTTTGGCTGTAATTAAATAAAAATGAGGTTTTTTCAATGAATAGTTTTATGATAACTGTAGGATGTTCTTTGCAGGCATCTGCTATACTTTATTCAAGTTTCTTCTGATGGAGGAATTGTTGGTTGCTAGAAGCATACCACTTAAGGTGAGGGAAGGGCCTGCAGAAATGATAGTCTTAAAATTCATTTAGGAGGCTAGAATGTACAGGGGTATGTTTCAGATGTGTAGATATGGAAAGTTGGGAAGCCTCCCTCACACGTTGGATGGCTTGTAGAAAACAAACCACAAGCTTGGACTTGCTCCTAGACTAACCTAAGGCGAAGTTCATAGCTTTAAATAAGATTCACATATTTTTATGGCAAAGAAGAGCCACACATCCAGGTACCCCTAAAGATATTGGAACTTCCCATCCCAACAATATGTATGAGCGGCAGACAAGGAAGGTCTTTGAACACTTTTCTCATGTACAGCATTCAAAGATGCCCTGCATGCTGGCCAATTTTGATAAAAATACCTGTTTCCTTGACTCACCTCCTAAGTCCATCTTTGTTTTTCTGAGCTAACTATTTTAGTCAAAATTTTGTTTGTGATTGCATAAGGAGTAGGATCTCTGCTTCTGTAAATATTTTTTGGGGGGCAGAGAAATGTATATGGAAAGGTGTGCATGCTTCATATGCTGTTAATGTTTGTATAGCCAAATTCAAGGTGGAGTATCTCATTTCAGTTTGTCTGCATTCCTGGATAGTGATAAAAGGGAGTTTGCCACCTCAACTCTGTGGCACTTTTTCTTAAAAAAATAAATACCCCATATAGTAGGGTTCTCTTTCCCTTGTGTTCTATTGGATACATCCTAGTTCATTTTAGCTTTTGGTGATGCTGGAAGTATTGGTTTTTCCTGATAGGGGACTGCATGATTGTATCTTCACTTGCTTTCTGCAGTATACTGTTAAATGAATCAAACAAATGACATTAAGATAGCTTTTTCACCTCTTGTGACATATCTCTTGGGAAGTTTAGAGCTGTACTTAGTTGGTGTTTATAGCACAGCTGTCATTTTGAAGTCAGCTTTATTTAATCACTTTTATAACTGTACATTTGACATTCCGATCATTTTTTGGAAAAGGGAATTGTTTGAGTACAGTTTGGTGTTTATTATGCTGTAAGGGTCTGGCACTTAAGCTGTTACTGAGTTTAATTGGGCAGGCTTCTCCTGATGTATGTTGACAAAACAAGTTTTCTGACTGATAGTATGAGTTTATTTCCATTAACACTTCACCTGTTTGAAATTATGAAGACAGGTTGTTAGAATAGAGAGAGTACAAAATATAGTGATTAATGAACATGGAAAGCATAAGCAATACACTTTCTCATTTAATCCTTCAGGAACAAGGTAATCAGCTGAAGAGCAAGTCTGTGAGCAGTGCAATAATTCAGGAAATGAAATGTTTCAAAACAAAACAGTCTTGTTAAAATTATACAAAAATGTAAGTGCTTTCCATTGGGTACTCCATTGGATTTGGCAGGAAGAAAGAACAGGCTGGAACTGAATGCCAAGTGCAGAAACTAATCATGATCCAGTGGCAAAGAATTGTTAAAACTTGCATTGACACCCCCCCCCCCAATTTATTGTTTCAGTCTTGATAAAGCTTGGTATAAAGTTAACTATTATAAGGTTGCAGTGACACACTACCTAGCTGAAGTAACTCCTTGAGGGCTTCTAGCCATCGCTTCAGGGACTGTCTGGTTTCCTGTGTTTTCAATGCTGAGTTGAAGTTGTTTGCATGTTAAGTTGGCCTGCACTGAAAAACTATTTGCAGCAGCATTACTACAGTAGAAATCTGTGTTCAACTTTTTCCTCAGAGTGGGAAACATTTCCTGTCACAACTGTAAGCATTAGAAAAATATGTTTCTATATAAATCTACTTCTGATTTAGTTATTGCATGAGTGAATCTGCCCTTCTCCCCCCCCCCCCGCTTTCTTTGCTCCAGGGGTATTTTGGCTTTACCAAAAGGTGGAAATTAAAGGGACCTTGAAGGAAGACTTCCTTGCACATCATAGGGCAGCATCTTGCTTAGTTAACGTAAGCCTGAGGCATGTGGGCACCGTGAAAAAAGAATGACATCCATGGTAGGGATGGGGGTGGGAGTTTCATAAGTGTTAAGGCCAGAACAGCACCAAAATAAAGTGGGGCAACCTGCATTTTCCTTAGTTGAAACAGCTAGCTCTCCTTGTTTGCTATGCATGCTCAGAACAATTGGATATATGCGCAGCAGGACTCTGCATAGGATGCTACCTTGTATTGAGATAGACTGTTGGTCCATTTAGCTCAGTATTGCCCACACAGATCGGCAGGGGTTTTCCAGTGTTTCAGGATGGGGTAATACCCTAGCTCTACTTAGGGATGCCAGCAATTGAACTTATGCATACAAAGCAACTGCTCTTAAACTGAGCTATGACATTTTCAGACTTACTTGAAAGTAGTTTTCTGCTGAGTTTTAATGGATATTTCAGCAAATACTGAAAACCTTCCCTCCCCAGTCAGACTTGTGATTGTTGCTGATTTGTGTTCAACCAGCATTCTGAATATGTTTGCAGTTTGTCTTCTTATACTTTTATGAGATTTTATTATTGTATTTCTTTAAGGTACAGTGATACCTCGGGTTAAGAACTTTGCTTCAGGATGAGAACAGAAATCATGCTCCGGCGGCGTGGCGGCAGCGGGAGGCCTCATTAGCTAAAGTGGTGCTTCAGCTTAAGAACAGTTTCAGGTTAAGAACGGACCTCCAGAATGAATTAAGTTCTTAACCAGAGGTACCACTGTATTGCTAAACATAGAATACTTTAAAGTGAATTTTTTGGGGAAATTACCGTACTTTTCCGTGTATAAGAAAAGGGTTTTTTACTCTAAAATAAGGTTATAAATCGGGGGCGTGGGGCGTGTTATACAAGGATAGTGCATATGCGGGACGGGCGATTGGTTGCAGCTGTGAGCAGGAGCTTGTCAGTGGCGATTGGGTGGTTGAAGGCGGCTGCTGCGAGGGCTGCTTAGGATTGGCTGCTGGTGCAACAATTTTGTGACTGATTGGTGGTTGTTCAACAACTTTGGCAATCCTCCCCCAAAAAGCTCAACAACTCTGGGCCATCTTCCCCCATTTACTTAATTTGGGGTCCCCAAAAGTAGGGGGCATCTTATACAAGGGGGCAGGCGTCTTATACACGGGAAAATACAGTATGTTAAGAAAGGCTCTGGCTTTAATGTGGATAATGTCATTATATGGTTTAGTCACTAGGTGGCACGTGGTATAGTGGTGGAATCAGGATCCACCAGTTGCTGTTCTGTTATTGTTTAACAGAGACAATAAAGTTCTTATCTAGCTTCCTAACTGGTGTGTCATCTAAGGCTTAATAACAGTTTATTGCAAACTCACCGTGCAGATACAGTCTTGCATGTAAACTGGGCCCAGCACACACATCTGAGTCTAAGATTGCAGCTGCAGCATACAGTTAAATCTCTAGTTTCTACAGTCTTTTTTACAATTTTTATGACATTTGCTATTTATAGATACTTCTTTCATTAGTTAGTCTTACTACCTTTGCAGAAGAATGTTTAGATCTGAATCTCCAAGTTCTTTACTCTTTTCTGTATTCAAGTCCATTTAAAAATGAAGGTGGTTTTTTTTTGTGTCAAATATAATGGGCTCCAAGAGAAGATACACGTAAAGGCAATTATTTCTGTGACAATGGGTTAATTTTTAAAAAAAGGATCAGCTGTCATGTGCTTTGTCTGCACCAAGTATCCTTCATTCTACCTCTAGCACATTTAAATAACCATATATTAGAAATTGATGCAGGGAGAAGTAGAGCCCTGTCTGTTACTTTCAGATAAGAATGTATATGGTTCAAATGTTTTCAGGTTACGTGCTGTGAAAAGGGAAAGTAATTACTTCTCCCAAAGTTTCAGGAGGCTTAAAAAAATTAAAAATAAGCAATACAAACTGTTAAAACATTGCAGTGAAATGAGCACAAACAGCTTTTGATGATGTCTACATTAATCTGCATTAATTAGCAAATGACATCACTTAACATCCAGCCTGAACAAGACTTCTGGGGAGCGCAAGAGTTTGCTCGCTATTTTCTGACACTTTTGTTGGTTCTTATTGCTTAGCTCTGATTTTTGTTTTAACACAAAGAGTTGCCATTGGTGTAGAAGAGGCCACCAGATACTGTAAGAAGAGAGTCGTAATTGCTTTTGGGACTCATCCACACGACTATTTGTCTCATGCCTAGAGAGTACGGATCTGAGTGGTTTTCTGCTTGACCTGCAATTTTCAAGCATGGGTTCGAGCGGATTCCCCCTTGCTCCTCTCCTTTCCCAGGGAAACACCTTTTTTTAAAGCTAAATCGGAGCGCATGTCAATCCAGAGAAAACCTGATTTGCTGAGTTCTAAAGAGCAGTTTTCTCTGGGGTGGAAGCAGCAGGACAAGAGGAAATGTGAATAATCCCTTAGACAGCAGGCTTTCTAAAGAAGCGCAAACACATTTATTGCATTAATTTTAAACCTCTTCACATTTTATGATCCTTTCAATAGAAGTTATTAAAATGCACAGAAGAGGGAAACTGACACACAACATTGTTTCACAAAGCTACTCAACATGGGTAACACTATATAGTAGTATTCTTTCCAAGTTACTTGCAAGTGTAAAACAAGAGTCATATCCAGACTAAGTTGAACTCCGTTTCCATTTAAATTGAGGAGCTGAGTTGTTCATGACTCGATGTCCACTGAAATTAATTGGACTTCAATTCAACCAGCTGGGTCTGAGTTCAACCCAAGTTATTCCTGTCGTACAGACTGCATTATGATTATGGTTATTTGTCTAGTACAGTGGTACCTCGGGTTAAGTACTTAATTCGTTCCAGAGGTCTGTACTTAACCTGAAACTGTTCTTAACCTGAAGCACCACTTTAGCTAATGGGGCCTCCTGCTGCTGCCTCGCCGCTGGAGCACGATTTCTGTTCTCAACCTGAAGCAAAGTTCTTAACATGAAGCACTATTCTGGGTTAGCGGAGTCTGTAACCTGAAGCGTATGTAACCCGAGGTACCACTGTATCTGGCTGTGTTTCTAGAATTTGCTATCTCTGCATTATAAACTCACATATTGAAAGGTACCGTTTGAGTTGATATCAACAGAGGTAGATTCTGTTTTCTATAAGAATGCTGTTTAGTTAAAGTTCTTCTTTTCAGAATTTGCCTCCTTCACTATGCAAGCAGGCTTCAATGGTTTCAGAGGTTATTTTGCCTGGTTATAGATACTTAAAGCATTTTATCTGGTTTTGGAAGCCTGGAATTTTCTGTTTATGTTAAAATTATTGCCAATTATATATAATTAAAATGGCAGAAAAATATACTGTACTGCACTTTATAAAGGCAAATACAATTGAATAAAAGAGCATAACTATTGAATGTGTATCCAATATGTATTGAGCTTTGGTACATGCTTAATCGAAGTTAATATTCATTGTGAAAGTGGATGGTTCATTCTTCTGCCTTGTCTGTTAGAAAAACCTAGGCCCAGAATTTGAGAGTTCTAGGGCATATAAAAAGCAAAAATAAAGATAGAATAGTTCTTTCCCCCTCAGCAAATAGCTGCTAGATATTTTTCAGATCGACTTACTACACTGATCATGAGTCATAAATATAAGAGCTTGCCCAGGCAATCATTTCAAAGTGTTTTCTATGCCATTTTAGCCTTTGTGGGATAGTCTTACAAGTTCTAATCACAGATATTTGGGCTGTGTGGTGGCGATAACTACTTGGGGAGTGTAAAAGCTTTGGTGCAACAGGTTAGCTATGTTGTTGTTTCTCTCCTGCCTTTCTAAAGAAAAGCTGGATAAGTGGTACTGCAGTGCTGAAGATGGTGATTATTTAGCATAGGAACAAGTAGTCTTGAATAGCCCTTTCCTTCAGCCATACAAAGTCTAAAAACTAACATAAATGTGAGTGTGTATGTGAAAGGGAGGAGAAAAAGAGAGAGAAGCAAACAGGCTGAGAACAAGAGAAAAGGCCATAAGGGTAACATCATTTCTACTATATTGAATGAAAGTTGAAGACCAGTTACATCTGTTGATAATAGGTATTTCTGCTTTTAACTGTTTTGAGTGACGTAATTGCAGATTGTAAAGGGTGTTTTTTTTTGGTCTAGCTCAAGTTATTAGTGAGTAAGATCTACCAAAAGCAGTGGAACCATATTAGCAGTCTTTAGGTTTAAATAGGGATGCGGGTGGCTCTGTGGTCTATACCACCGAGCCTCTTGAGCTTGCTGAACATAAGGTTGGCAGTTTGAATCTGTGTGATGGGGTGAGCTCCTCTTGCTTCATCCCAGCCCCTACCAACCTAGCAGTTCGAAAGCATACCAGTGTGAGTAGATAAATAGGTACTGCTGCGGTGGGAAGGTACTGTATTTTTCGCCCTATAGGACGCACTTTTCCCCCTCCAAAAATGAAGGGGAAATGTGTGTGCTTCCTATGGGGCGAATGCAGGCTTTCGCTGAAGCCTGGAGAGCGAGGGGGGTCGGTGCGCACCGACCCCTCTCGCTCTCCAGGCTTCAGGAAGCTATCCACTAGCCATGGGAGACGCAGCTCTCCCACGGCTAGCGGAGAGCTTGTCTGCACCCAGAAGCTTGATAGCAGCCTGTTCTGGGAGCTGGGGTCAGGGGAAGCTCAGGCTTCCCCCACCCCAGCCCCGCACCTGGGGGGGGGAATAATTTTCCCCCCCTTTATTTCCCCCCCAAAAAACTAGGTGCGTCCTATGGGCCGGTGCGTCCTATGGGGCGAAAAATGCGGTGAATGGTGTTTCCGTGCTCTCTTGCTTCCATTACGGTGTTCCATTGCACCAGAAATGGTTTATTCATGCTGGCCACATGACCCGGAAAGGTGTCTGCAGACAAACACCACCTCCCTCAGCCTGAAAGCAAGATGAGCGCCGCACCCCATAGTTGAATTTGACTGGACTTAACCGTCCAGGGGTCCCTTACCTTTTTTACCTTTAGGTTTAAATAGGACCTAGTTCTATTGAACTTAGTCCTCTCGGCTCTGTCATCTGTTTTTGAGGATAAATAGATTTTGTATCTTTATATGCTGACTTGGAAGCAAGTCCTATTGCATCTACAGTGGTACCTCGGGTTAAGTACTTAATTCGTTCCAGAGGTCCGTTCTTAACCTGAAACTGTTCTTAACCTGAAGCACCACTTTAGCTAATGGGGTCTCCCGCTGCTGCCACTGGGCCACCGGAGCACGATTTCTGTTCTCATCCTGAAGCAAAGTTCTTAACCTGAAGCACTATTTCTGGGTTAGCGGAGTCTGTAACCTGAAGTGTATGTAACCTGAAGCCTGTGTAATCCGAGGTACCACTATACTGGGACTTACTTCCCAGAAAGCATGCATAGGATTTTAGTCTCAGCTTCACCACTGTGAAGCACACAGCATTCCATGATCTAGTATTTTTCCCCTAAAGGGAAAAAGTTCATGTAGTTCCAACTAGAAGTGTGGGAAGAGTCCCTTCTGGCCCATTGTTTGGTGGGAGTTTATTTGCGTGGGGAGTTTACAGGTTTTGGCTGTTGTAACTTCTGCAATTTAGATGCACAGTTTCCAGCCTCCAAAATCATGGAAATTGTTGTCACCAGGAGTTTCTGACTTTTACATTATGGTTGTTCAAGTGAAGGAACACTGGAGTATGACCTGGAGAGTTCATGTGAAGGAACAATATAATCTTCATCTACTCTAGGTTGGGTTTTGGATAATTCTTCTCTAATGGCCAACATTTCCCATATGTTCTACTCTGTTACTGGTGCTTGTTTTATAAGTCCATGAGCAACAGCATCTTAAAATTATTATTACAGTGGCAAGTATTTTTAATCTCTGTTGGAAGCCGCCCAGAGTGGCTTGGGAAACCCAGCCAGATGGGTGGGGTACAAATAATAAATTATTCTTATTATTATAAGTAGCACCATGGCTTTATCATAGGTGCTTTCTTGCTGCTTGAGGGTTGGAAAATTCTCTGAAACAGCATTAAAGAAAACTAGAAGAGGCTAATTTTTTGGATGAACTGCTTTACATAGGACTTTTAAATTCCAGTCAACTATATAACCCAGTAGTTATCCATCTTTGTTTCCAGCTTTAAGCAAAACACACAGGTGGAGAATGCAGATAACTAGAAATGTGACAGTTTTGATATTAGCAAAGTTAGATATAGATTTTAAGTGTTATGCCAGATGTATTTCACTTAAGGCTAAGATCCAGGCAACTGCCGGATTTTATATTTTCAAAAATTGGAACCATTATTTCTTTCATTTTCCCAGCAGTCCTAGGTGCGACCTGAAACCTACATAGCACCTAGTAGAGCCTAATCCGGTTAAATCTGCTATCTCTTCCTATCCTCCATCCTCTTATTTCTGGCTAAATTTAGACTTTGTGGCATCACCATCTAGTCCAGTTTTCTACTGTACCTCTCTCTTCCATCCACTCCCCTGCCCCCCGCCCAAACTTGCTTAATATCCAGCCTGATTAGGACCTTTGGTGAACTCAGAAACTATTTTGGTATTTTGTTATTTTTGGCTGGTTTTAATAAAAGTGCTGATTAGCTTTGAATTTTGACAGGATTTACAATAAGTTTTAAATATTGTGGGGCAGGTGAAACGATGATTGAAAATCATGTGATGTATGGTGTGAAAGTGGCTCAAACATAACATTTTGTGGAAGTGGACCAGATTTTTTATGAAAATGTTAGAATTTTTAAAAAAAGTATAATAAAGTACAAAGACACAAATAGAAAGACTGTCCCTCAGGATGGGGTTCATGTGCTGTTTCCCTACCCACCCACCCACCCACCCCATTCACAAAAGAAAAAGAAAAAAGCCACCACAATTTTATATCTCTGTTTATGTAGGCATACGGACAATTAAGGGTATGTTGGATCAGATATATCATTTTCATATCTCCTGTCTTATTTATTTTACAGTATATGCACCATGAATGAACCAACTTCTAGTGGAAGTGGGCAAGACTTTGATGTATTTAGTGTAATGGACTGGAAGGACGGAATTGGTACCTTGCCTGGAAGTGATCTGAAGGTAACATTTTATAATCCTAAATAGGCTCTGAAAAACGTAATGTAACCATAGATGCAGAGACGTATATACATACAACTTAGTGCTGTATAAAGGGCAAGTCTTGATGTTACCAGGGAATGGATAAGTGTGTCAAAACTCTCTCTCCAGGATATGCCACAGCTGGCCTACCAACCTTTACTGGTAAAAGATGTTTCATATCACGAATGCCACTTGACATCCAAATTATAGGCTATATTGAACAGCAGTCACAAACTGTGGACTTGCTCCTTTAGTGGGAAGGCAACCCTGCCCAGAATAAGTTGAACAGCACCTCATACATTCATCAAACCATCCACCAACAGTTCCTTTCTCTTGACTGGACTGAATTTGAGTTTCTTTGGCCTCATTCAGTCCAAAATCTTCCTCTTGTGATATGTTTGTGTTAAATAGCAAACAGAGTACTGTGGCAGTCCAGTGCTCAATTGCCATGGGACAAAATAACAGCCTCCAGCCTTGCTTTCTGAAACTGTTTGCTGAGGAGGAACAGAATAATGAACAAAGCACAGGACTTCTAATTCTCAGCGCGTATACTGAGTCCGAAAGGACATTATAGTAGATTATTATTATTATTGTATTTATATAGATGATATTGTATGGTGTTGATGGCAGATACCCTCAGCAGGATGGACAGGTGCCCCATGAACAGTTTCTCAGTCCTTGCTAGCTCTCCAGTACATCTTTGATCTTTAATGTAATAATCCTGTGAACCTTTGTATGGCGTCTTCTCAGGGCAAGTGGTAGTAGGAAGAAACCCTAGCTTCCAGCCGTATGTACCTTATCATAATGGACCAGTGTCCACAAACAGCAGCAGTGGGAGATAGCAACCACGTTCTGGGAAAAGCAAGTCAATTTTCAGTACAGTACTGTTCTATTATTCTCAAATGCCTCTTTCTGGCTCTCTGAAAGCCCTCTGAAGTCGTCCTTTACCTGAAAGAGATGGGGAGTGCAAACAGAGAATTCACAAATAACTGCTTCTGATGTTCTTGGGTTCTCCTTTCAAAGACTGGAGAGGGCATTGAGGACTGCAGGAAATGCCCATGTTGCCATGTTCTGGAGTCTGCCCTGGAAATATTTAGTAGAATCATAGAAGAGAGAGGCACCTGAAGAAATTCAAGATAGAGCTGTATGATTTGAATCATAATTGATCAGCAGTTTGATCTACAGCAGATTGCTTCTGGTAACTCAAATAACTGAACTCAGGCACACACAGGGCAACTGAGAAGTCCTTACGGTCACATCACCAACCATTCTAGCCTTGCAGCTAGGTGTAAATATCTTCCTGGTTGCAATTGAAGAGTAATGAAGAGGAAAACCATTTCACAAAAGAGATTTTCTTATCAGTAGGTAGATCTTTACACTGAATTGCAAGCCCTTTGAATGTTTTCTTCTAAAAAATTCACACAAGACCAGAAATTTTTTAGTGCTGAGTGTTGTGTTATTTATAGTAAGCAATTTTATACTTTGCCTTGACCCATTTTTCCAGTTTGAAGATTGTTTGCAAGCAAATTGAAGTTTTGTGGGCTTGTTCAGATTTGTGTATAACATTCTACACTGTGATTTCTTTTCAAGTCTATATTTTTAAATAAATGTACAAATGGTGGGGGGGGGGAGGAAAGGGATCTTCACATGTGAGACAAGCATAGTCTAGTGCAGGATTTCGAGGTTTGGAACTTTTCCATTTGGCAGGCTAAGCAGCGTGTTCAAATCAGAAACACTTCAGTGCTTTACAATTGCTGTGTGCTGTGTAGAGGACTAGAAGAGTTGATATCTTCTAAGCTGAAGAGCATATATAAATGTGAAGTACTCTGCTTTTTTGAATCACTCTGATGAGTGCACACAATCACCATCACCTCTGGATTCAAGTGCTTCTATCAAATTGGACAAGCTGCAATAATTTAAAATTGCTTCCTGGTGGAGAAGCAGTATATGGAGTATTTTAGGCTTTTGTGCCTCTCAAGTGCCATATTTTCAAAGTGGAAATTACAAGTGTGCCCAGTATGTTATCATTGCATCCAAACAAGTGAATGGATTAATTTTTAAATCCTCCTGAAAATACATATACCCAGGTTTTTTTTTTGTCCAGAAAGAGCAGATAGAGAACCTAATGGCCTTGCAGGTGAAGGAAGAGACAAAGGTCCACTCAAACCTGGTTTTATACCACCTGCAGTTATTCCGCTTCTTTTCTTGGAAAGCCTGATTAATATCAATTACTTATACTGGTGATGGTGATCTATTAGCACTGCTTGAGTGCTGACCTTGAGAACACATACTGGCTTTCAGGATTAGCTTGAGAAAGGTGGATGAAGGAAATGTGTTAAAAGGAAAGAAATGCCTCCGTAGGGCTATAATAGTAAATTATGAAATGAAAGCCTTTGGGATCCTTGAACACAATCCCTTTTTTGTTTTTTAAGGGACTGAAGAGTTTTTGTCTGATGAAATTGAGAGTCTTCTGAGGACAGTTGTTTGAAAAAATTCAGAGAAAAAAAGAGAAGGCAATGAGAGGGAGGGAGGAGTAAAAACAACCAATCAGGGAAGACTCTGGGGGGAGTGATCAACTGCTGCAACCTTCTGTCCTACAGCAAAGGGAGGGAACGAGCAAATATTCCCATTTGATGCTCTTTCCCTCAAACAAGCTTCCATCTGATTAGGAAAAGGAAGTCACTGTTAACCTGAGGTGACTACATTCAGGCAGCCCTTGCACATGCACACATGACAGCACATGCAGAGTTCGATGTGCTGGCGCAAATTACATAATGGTCATTGGGTGAAGAGGTCCTTGTACTTCATTGGTGTAAACAGCAACATGAAAAAGTGATTTGAAACAAAGCAGGTTTATTCTCACAGCACACACCGACCCTGCTTTTCAGGAAACGTGGGGGATAGTAGTTGAAGTACCACACACTATTTTGAGGCCCTGGCATTTCCCCCTTTGCGCATCTGCTTGAGTGTGGGCCCCAGAGTTCCTTTTCCAACAAGGAGTTGCTGGGAGAGGAAAGTATAATTATAGAAATGATTTAGACACTATTTGAGGTGATAAGTATGTAAGAAAAGGTTTTCCATTTTACCATTCATGAGGAAAAAGTGAAAAATAAAACTATGTATATATGTCCACTTTCCCCATTTCTTGCTCCTGTGATCTTAAATTGATGGTCGTAATGGTGATGGTGATGATGTCATCATCAGTGAGCATTGAGCTTTACCTAGTACTGTGGTACCTCTGGATACGAACGGGATCTGTTCCGGAACCCCGTTTCCATCCTGAAGTAAACATAACACGTGCATGCGCGTCTATTCATGCGCAGGTCACGTTTCGCTGCTGCCGCGCATGCGCATGACGCCATTTTGAGCGTCTGCGCAAGCGGCAAAACCTGGAAGTAACGCGCTCCGTTACTTCCGGGTCGCCGCGGAGCGCAACCCGAAAATACTTAACTTGAAGCTACTTTAACCCGTGGTATGACTGTATAAGACAACAGGCTCCTCAGAGGAGCTTGCTGTCTAAAATTGAACATTGGCAAAACAAAAGTGGTAGATGGCTGACAAACTTTCAAAGCTGTCACTGCCTCTCTTCTCTTGTTTGCATGGAAGGAGTTAGGGTCCTCAAAGAAAGCGCATTCTCATATATATATTTAATGGGATTATGATACATGTTTATAATGACCACTAGATGGTACTAGTGGGCTGCATTCCCCCCCCCCCTTTGCACCTATTTTTCTTTTCCCTTTTTCTGTTTTCCTATCTGTATATAGTAGGAACTGGAAACGAAGAGACTGTCTGCTCAGTTGATCTCCTCAAACGCCTCTCCTCTGATCCCCAGTGTATGTTACACTGTATTATGTACCTCAGCTGTTTCCTCCTGCTGAGACTGAGGATGGCTTCCAGACTATCACTGTCTTTGGATGAGATAGTATCACATACAAATTCAGTTTTCACAGTTTTTTGGCAGCAAACCTTCCTTGAAATACTGAACTTTTTGCTATAAGGAAAGTGACAGGAAAACACACTGGAAAGTGAGATAACACCTGCTTTGACACATCATCATCATCTACCGTATTTTTTGCCCTATAGGACGCACTTTTTCCCCTCCAAAAATGGAGGGGAAATGTGTGTGCTTCCTATGGGGCGAATGCAGGCTTTCGCTGAAGCCTGGAGAGCGATAGGGCTCGGTGCGCACTGACCCCTCTCTCTCTCCAGGCTTCAAGAAGCTCTGCGCAGTCCTCGGGAGCCCGGTATGAAGTCGCACCAGGCTCCCGAGCGCTGCGCAGAGCTGCCTGCAGCCCCGGGCGTCGCGCAGCTCTGCGCAGCCCTGGGGGCGGGGCTCGGGGGAAGCTCGGGCTTCCCCCGTGCCAGCCCTGTGCCTGGGGGGGAGGAATAATTTTTTTCCTTTATTTCCCCCCCAAAAATCTAGGTGTGTCCTATGGGGCGGTGCGCCCTATGGGGCGAAAAATACAGTAACCTCCCCATAAACCAATAAAAATAATGCTCATTAAATAGCCAGCATTGTCCCAAGAAACAAATTGATGAATGCTTAATAAAAAGGTTGTGTGGAGGGCACACACATGGAGTAAGCAACTGAAAGGGGGAAAGGGTTGAAGTTTTGCCTGCAATCCAGCTCATAAAGAAGTGATTCTGTAGACTGAGCAAATGCTGATGGTCCACCACTGATATCTCAGGAAATAGCTTGGTTATAAATTAATTTACAAAAAGTAGGATAGAGCCGTAAGTTCTCCATATTTGATAGTGTTCACTGCTGTTCAATAGTTTTTTCTTTTGAAGGTCTGCTTTGTGAAGTACTTCATATTTTAAAAGATTGTGATTGGGCATGTAAATAGCCACTTGCCGGTTTGCATATGTCAGAGCTTTCCAAACTTTTCATGTTGGTTACACACTTTTTAGGCATGCATCATTTCGTGACACGGTAATTCAGTTTTACATCATTTTGCGACACAGTAATTCAGTTTTACTAGCAAACCGGAGGTTAAACTAACCCCTTTCCAGCCCTTGAAAGAGTGTGGGGAGCGTTTGCATGACACACCTACACACTGCAGCTGACACACTAACCTGTCATGACACACAGTTTGGAAAGCTCTGGCTTATGTCAAAGGGAGGGAGTTAGGCAGTGAATCTCGTGTAAACAAGAGAGAGTTCAATACTTTATTTCTTTTAGACTGTCACTGAGCCTGTAGATGATTAACAAACATGATTTTGTGGCAAACAAGCTAGTAAAAAAGATTTGTGGTGGACTATAACTTTTTAGGATTTGTTTGCTTGGCTGTGATCTGTGATTATGGATTATCCAAACTGTGAAAAATGTTCTCAACCTCCATTCATTGCTTCTCTGTTTCAAGGTCATGTAATACTTCAGGATTTCACTTTCCCTAGAAAAGTTTCCCTTAGAAATGCCTCTTGGGAGCCTCATTTGGGCAACAGACCTGACAAGCAGCGTGCAATTTAGGCTACTGTCTTGGTCTATGGGCACAGATATCGTCCTATCCCCAGCTTTTCATGTGTCTGCTAATATACATTAACATGGATGTGAAGGAAGCTCCTGCAGAGGTGAAATGTAGAAATGTCTGTTTACTTTTCTCTCTTTTTTAACCAAGTGGTGTCAATAGGCATTATGGAGGCTGTCAACTATTAGGTGTCAAACCATTATAGATTAAACATCAATAGATCTTTACCTTTCTAGCAACATTCCCCCCCTCTAATTCTTACCTGTTTTTAAAATTAGTTTCGTGTGAATGAATTCGGTGCCCTAGAAGTAATCACCGATGAAACAGAGATGGAAAGTGTTAAGAAGGCTACAGCTACCACAACCTGGATGGTGCCAACTGCTCAAGAAGGTCAGAATCATGATAAATCATGATAAGACAAATTTCTGTCTTTAGAACAAAATGGTGGTATTCTTAAAGTTTCACTATGACGCTGTTCCTGACATTTTCTTTAATAATAGCTTCTGCTCTGGAATATTGAAAGATAGCTAATATTGTAACAAATTAAATTCTGAAACCTGCAAACCACTTGGTAGAAATGATAGTTGTTACTGTACTAGTTAGACTGCTGTTGAGGAAGAGGTGAAAACCAGTAAAGTTTTTTGTAAAATGTTAGCACAGAGTTGTCTAAAAGCCTGAAGCACTTTTTCAAAGTAGCATGAACGAATGTGCCAATTTAATTATTGGCAAGTCTTGGGTAAGTCATATCCTTCAGTGGCATCTTTTGCTTCGTGTGGTTTACAAATATGCCTGCTAGTTTTCACCATTTACAGCCTAAAACATTTGCTGTGCTTTCCATTGTATAGCCTTCTCAGAAAATACAGAAGTACCACAAAAACTGAAGGAAGCTAGCAAGGTTGACGGGCCTCATTTCTGTGAACGTTGTTTTCATTCTGGAACCACAGTGGACTTTGTAGCTGGAGAAAGATCTTGCAGCCAAAAATGTGCACATCAGATTAAAAACAAGTAAGAGTTGGCATGTGTGAATAATGTGATAACTAGTGTAAAGAGTGCTGCAGTTTAAAAGAACTTGCCTCATTGTGAATGACTGCTTATTGTATGCTTGAATTAATTGTGGTGTTTATAAATAATTTTTTTTGCGCTTGCAATTCCTCCTTTTTTAAAAAAAAAACCACAACTTTAAGAGATAGACAAACTTTGCTTTAGAAAATGTATTCTTCAAAATGACAATTAATATAGCTCCTGCTACTTTGTTTTCATTCTAGAGAGCAAAGGGAGGACAAAGATGTATCGGAAGTCAACGATGAAGACTGTTCCAAGGACACTCAAAAAAGAAAAACCAAATCGCCCTCAAAAGGAGAATGTATGGAAGACAATGTCAAGAAGTATGAGGCAATGGTTAGTATGGTCCAGTTGATAGGTTTATAGGTTAAACTGATCTGTGGTTGTAAATATAGTTTTGGCAGTTTACAGTGATTCAAAAACTTTATGCATTTAAATGACTCTTTGCTTTTAAGGTTGGAGTGTTTGAAATGTTTAGCAAAATGTAAATGGAATGCTTTTTTCTATTTAAATAGTCATTTAAATATGTGAGTGTCCTGGTGAGATTATGGCGGCTGTGCCTGATCCAACCTTATATTTTGGTGTCCTAAGGTTGGTCAAGTGTTGCCTGGGAGTTCTGAAAAGAAAGGCAAGTTTCCTTCCATAGACTCTAGGCATTTATTTGAGCTGCTGCACACTCCCAGAGCTTTTAGGAATGCTCAAAAGATTTTTACGGATACTGGTGTCTGACTGTTATCCTGCGGGGGATAACTAACCTTTCTGGTATAGCAGGTTGGCATTCAATATTAGCTCCACCAAGGTCAATAATTATGTTACCTTGTTTCATCATTGTTGTTCTTATGTTTAAAATAACAAAAAATGTATATTGAGTTATCATGCTGTTCCATGCTTCTTTATTATAGTGATTCCAGGCAGTGGGATGAAAGCATTGCTAGTCACTATATTACCACTATATTATCAATTATTTCTAAGGCTGAGCAGAATGAATAAAAATAGACAGGTTCTCTCCACTGGCACTGAGACAGAAATCAGCTTAAAAAAGAAAAGAAAAAGTGGGCCAGTTATGGATGGTGGAGACAGTTCTTTTTGCTGCACAAAATGGATATGTCTTTCCTGGGTACATCAGACAAAGACTGTATTCCATGCATGGGCCTCCCCAGCGCACATTTCAGGACCTTATTAAAACCTTATTGTTCCATTTATTTCATAAGCTTCTAATATAACACACGTATTAGGAAGTCAGACCCATTGACCTGAATAGACTTGCTTCCAAATAAATGTTCACAGGATTGCCCTGTAATATCGCGGAGAACACATGACAAAACAGCAGTGAGCAACCTAAAAAAAAGTATTTCGAAAATCAGTGTTCTTCAAAGTTACTTCAGTGAAGTATACTTTAATTTTGCAATTTAGGAGGAGAAACCTGAAGGGAGAATACTAAGAGTCTCTCAGAGAGCCACACGGAAAAGGAAAAGAGAGATGGCAGTTCTAAAACAGAGTAAGTTGATATGCAAGTCCATATCAGTATAAGGTTTTCATCAGTTTCTGCCATCTAAAGGGCCTCTTCTGTGTTATGCAAGCAAACCCATGTTGAACACTGAGTGTGCACTCATAATGGAACCATAGGCAATTCCTGCTCACTGACAATTTGTCCTTGGTATGATATGCATGTTTGTAAACTACGTATTTCAGTGTGCATGTAAACCTCTTAGATGCAGACCTAAAAATTTGGGATGATGTGTCACGTTTTGGAAAAGACTGGCCCTTTACTATAACAGTAATGCTGGTGTATTTCTAGTTTCTCTGTAAAAAGCTGGGTTGGCCCATTTTCAGTCACTAGTCTAAACCTTAATCCATTTGTGACGTTGTATGCAACAAATATTGTGCATTTTGTAAAGTAAGAGATTGAAGAGCACCATCCTTCCAAGTACTTCCATTTTATTACTTGGCTGAGTAACTTCCTGCTCTGGCTTTGTTATACTGTTCCATGGGGGAGCTTTAAAGTGGAAGTATAAATGAAATTAAGATAATTGAATTGCTTGAATACTGGCAAGGATTTCTGTGTCTCACATATGTGAAATTGTTCAAATAGTTCTTTAGAACATGCATTTTAAAACCAGAAGTGAGGCCCTGCTTGGTGTCTCCTGGGAGTAATTTCATATCTAAACCACATGCTGAAAGTTAAGATAGATTTATAGAAACCAGTAATAAATAAATCCTAGGAGATGCCTAAAGCAGTATAAATCAATTGCCACAGGGTCAGATTGTTAGCAAAGTGGATACATGTATTTGAGGAAAACAACAGGATTAGGAAGTACCGGTTAACTCCATAGCTTTCTACAGTGTGATCTGTAATTTTTGCTTTGGCAATAACCATCCATCTTTGCTAGCTGCTGATCAGCGGTGTGAAAAATGTAGCTTTGGTCTTCTCCTTAATGGAGTAGCACTGAAATTAACCATAAATCTAAAGTGTATGGAATTATATTGTAAGAGAACTGTAATTCATACCGTTACAACCATAATGATAGTATAATACAACTGCTTATGCAGATAATTTGTTACAAAGCTGTGACTTGTGCTTACATTAAGATTTTAATTTCTAATTCCAGCTTTGATGTCAAAGGCAAAGAAAACATGGAGTTGGTCTTCGTATTTGGAAGAAGAAAAGGCTACAGCAGCACCACCTAAGATTTTTAAAGAGGTATGCTGAAACCTTAAAACACTGCTTCTTTGAGGCAGACAGGGGCCTGTGTGTCGGGTAAAAAATAGGTGTCATGTACAAATATAGAAGAAGTTTGAAATGGCTGGCATGACCATTTTAGCTTGCTTGCTTGCTTATGAAACTTTAAAACAGTTCACATATTATATGACTGCATACTGGCTCCCACACCTTTTAACTTTTATATAAATTATATGGTGCCACAGCTAGCACAGGTGGAATCCCCCGCCCATCAATTTGTAATAGGAAGATATCTTGCCTGCTGTACGTCAATGATGTGGTGCTCCTATCACTCTCCCGATTAGGTCTTAACAGTCTGCTTACAGCTTTCAGCAGGTATTACAAGCGGGAAGAGCTCGTCGTGAATTACTCCAAGACCAAAATTATGGTCTTTGGGAAGTGTAGTCCCAGATTCAAATGGAAAATGGATCAGCAGAACTTGGAGCAAATACGCTGCTTCAGATATCTGGGTATTCTTTTCACTGAGACACTATCATGGAAGGGGCACATTGAGGCTACGAAACTCAAAGCACAGAAAGCTTGTGGGGCGTTAATGAAATTCTGTTTTACCTCGGGTGGTCAGCTATTGGAACCTGTGTTGGAAATCTTTGCCAGTAAAGTGGTCTCCCAGATGCTTCATGGAGTAGCGATATGGGGCAAGGACCCAAATGCCAACAAAGCCTTAGAAATAGTGCAGAACAAATTCCTCAGGAAAGTGCTCTTGCTCCCCAACGGGACTCCAGCTGCTCTTCTCTGCGTTGAAGCTGACGTGACAACAATACAGGCTAGAATTGATTACCTGTGCTTAAATTATATGAAAATACTTCAATTTCTTTTGGAGGAGAGAGAGACTCCCCGCTATGTCACACACAGAACAGAAACAGTCCAAATGTTGGGAGGCCTCTTGTCCCAATATCAATTACAAGATTTTCAGGTGACTATGGAGATGGACAAGAGGCACTTAAGAGGTTGTCTCTTTAGGTCCGATGCAAAAAGGGATCTAATCTTGATGGCTTCTACCAAGATTTCGCCATGGTTCCCACTTATTAAAACGGAGCATACCTGGGCCAGTTACCTGTCAAAGCTCCCACTTGCCGTGCTTAGAATCGCTTTCACAGAATTCCAATTCCAATCTATGCCCTCGGCAGTGTTGGATGGACGCTACGGCAAAGTACATTATGAAGAGAGACTTCGTCTGTGTGGGCAATCCTGTGTGGAGGACTTGTGCCACTATTTCAGTGCCCGTTATATATAGACCCAAGAGACCGATTCATAAAACCCCTGTTTCCGAATGGAACTCACTTGAATAGGGTGGAAAGGGTGAAATGGCTGCTGAGTGATACTGATGACTTTGTAACTTATAAAGTAGCACTGCGTTGGCAGCTAAGAAGATCAGGAGGGAAGAACTAGATAAAATAGCGGTCAACTGCAAAGGGTATTCAGATATTTAATTTGGCACATTTTACTAGAGAATATTCTTTTTTTATGCAACAAACAATCTTCGTAGTTGTGACCGTGGTTTATATTGTATGTGTGGTGCCTGATGATTTTTATGGTTATTGCTGTTTTTCCTTTTGTTATTTTTCTGTTGTTTTTTTATAAGATATTTATTGAAATTTTCAAAGTGTTACAAAATAAAATAAAAGCAGAAGAAAGTACAAAATAAAAATAGTTAACAAAGTAGAAAAAGAAAAAAACAAACCCCTTCCAACCATATGAATACAAATTCAAAAATAAAAAAGTGACAGAAAAAAAGAATACAAAAATACATCACAAACAATTATAAACATTTAAAAACAAATTCATTATTTTCAAATCCTCAACTGTCATTGCCTTCTTTCTTTGACCTCCTCCTCCTCCCTTTCTTTGTATCCTAGTTATTAATTATCCCAGCAATCCTTTCCATATTTCATAATATTCTATCATTACATTACCCTAAACTGTTTTAATCTTATCTTTCTATAATAAAATAAACCTTAAAGCTTAAGACTTAAATCTTATCCTCACCAACTTCTCATAACCATAATATTCTTTCATAATTCTTTAAACATCTTTACTAAAGCCAAGTAATTTCATTCCAACATTTTTCTGACATTCATCAATTTTATAAAACAGTTCTAATGGTAGAGAAAAGAGATACAAACAGGTCCAATCTTCATCCAACGTCCCTTCCTCCTGGTTCCGGGTTTTGTCAGTCCTTACTATCCCGTCGATCTGGCCCATTAACCTGGCAACCTTATATCCGAGGCCCTCAAGTCTCTTCCATGTCCCTTCCACAGCTCTTCTTCATATTTGTAACTGTATTTTCCCTTGTCTCCTGCTCGTGGTAACTCCAGCTTGGCAATGTTTTTAGCCCTTCTCGACAGATCAGCCCCTTTTCCATATTCAACACTGAATTCCATATGGTATTTAAAAGCATGTTTCAAAGGCCCTCCAAAATTAAGAGCCCCCACAATCCCAAACATCTCACGGCCCATTGCCAGATTTGAAAAGTCCAAACATCCCAGCATAGGGGGGTCAATCTAGCCCCCGATTTCCAAGTCAAACCAAACTTTTCCTTTCCAAATCTGGCTTTTTCCAAGTTCATTTGTCAAATCCGAAGACTCATATTCCTGTTGGGCCTGTTCTGTCAGGACACACTCCTGATTTAATTCCTGAGTGGGCTCCACATATTTTCCCACTGTCTGTTCAAAATTTCCCACTGCCTGTTCAAAATTTCTAGTCGAAGTCGCCATCCAATTCACCTTCTCATGTAACTGTTCCAGTAGGGCATTTGTTTTATAGAAAGCACACAACAAAGCTTCTGAGTACATTGTCCTGCAAGGTCAGATTCCTGTTCCCACGATTGTAATCTGTAACAGCTGCCGGCTCCCTGGAGTTGGTTACAGTTTCACAGTCTCCCTCTAGGGGGAAAACTTCTATTTGTTCTTGCAACAAAGTTTCCCTTTTTGAGATACTTTGTCAATATTTGTTCCTTTAAAATGCGAAGGAAAACAGTGGAATCACTATGTTTCTCTTCTTTTAGCTATCTGTCAAAAACGCTTGTCTCTGGTCAATGAGCTTCAAACGTCAGTCCTGACACCCTGCTCCAGGATCAGGACGGAGGAAAGTTACTTTACTTTAAACTCACTTTAAACAGTCCGAAAAAGATCCCCCCCTTCTCCTGCTGTCGAAGGGGGGTTCCACAATTTTAAATGATGAAATCCGATCCTTTAAAGGTGATTTTCTGAGCTCTAGTTTACGTTGTCTTTGCTTTATTCTGTTTACAAAAGAACGGAAGGCTGACTTCCTGTTTAGACCTTCCCGTTCCGTACCGAATTAAAATAGATTTTTAAGATCTAATTCTTTTCTGCTCGCAAGTCCTTATTTAATGTCCAGTTGTTCAAAGTCTAAGTACTCACGGGTGCTTATTTTAAAGTCCAAATTGTCCCAGGAAAAAGGCAGCGCTCTCCGGCAACGGCTATGCGGCTTCGCTCCACGGAAATAGCAGTTGACTCACAGCACCGCGCCACTTCCCCCTCTTCACTTCGGAGCCCGTTAGTGGGTTCCTTAGCGAGTTGGGGGAAGCGCTAAGGGTGCCCGCCGAGTCCCATGGTCACAGGCTTCATCCGCCTGTGATTTTTGAGTGGGTCCCCGCTTCGCCGTAGCGGTAAAGACCTGTTTCCCGTGGAGCTGGTCCCTCCAGTTCAGAGGGAATCCGCCATTGCCGATGGCGCCACCCCGGAAGTCCCTTTTGTTCTTTTTCTGAATGATACCATGGCCTATGGCTAGCGCAATAAAAGTCGATGATGATGATGATATGATGTTTTACATGGTAAATATTCAATTGGTAATTGCATTAGTGTGTGTTTAATTTGTCTTGTAATGAGCTGAGATTAGGTCTTCTCAAAAAAATTCTCTCATGGATGGTTAAGAGAGAGATAACTTTTTCAGTGGTTACACTGAAACTCTGGAATGCCCTTGCAACTGAGGTGCATTTGGCCTTTTATTGCGTTCTTTTAGATATTGCTGGAAACCAATTTGTTTCAGTAAGCTTGTAATGGTTGGTTGACTGATCGTATTGCTGACTCAGTTTCTAAACAGCTTTATTATATATAGTGCTGAACTGCTGCTTTAAATGTAAATGTTGTGTTTTATTGTTAAGGTTATGTATTTATGTTTGCTTTTTAATGTCATTTTGGGTGTGTAACTATAGAAAAGTGGGATATAAATATATTGCTACTATTACAATATGCTATCTGGAAGAAACAAAGGTGAAAATGACTTGTATGTATTGCCTGTGCTTTCTTCTGTATGTGGTATGATGGAGCTTGGGTGCATAAATTTTCCCCATTTTGGAAGCGTTTTATGTGACAGATTTAATAAAGAATCTGGGTAGCAATGAGCAATGTAAAATTTATCTAGTGCTGCAATCTTGTATGCAGTTGAGTTCATACAGATCACCTATATTTTGACATAATGCAGGTGTCTCATCTAAAGCATCCATGACAGGTGACCAACCTCTGCATAAAAACCTCCAATGGAGGAGAGTCCACCACATTTCGAAGGAGTCTGTTCCATTGTCAAGCAGTTCTTACTGTCAGAAAGTACTTCCTGATGTTAAGTTGGAATCTCCTTTATAACTAGAATCCATTGGTTTGGGTCCTGCCCTCCAGCTCAGGAGGAAAACAAGCTTTCTCCATGGCTATCATATCTTCTCTCACTCTCCTCTTATCCAGGCTAAAGATACCCAAATTCCTCAACTGTTCCTCATAAGGATTGGTTTCTAGACCCTTGATCATCTCTGTTGCCTTCCCCTGCACAAGTTCAAGCTTGTTAATATCCTTTTTAAACTGTGGCACCCGGAACTGGACACAGTGCTCCCAAGTGTGGTCTGACTAAGTCAGAATAGAGCGGTACTGTTACTTCTCTTGATGTGCGCAGTATACTGTTGAAGCAGCCTAGAATATTTGTCGCCTTTGTTACTTGTCGGGTACTTTGTTACATCTGTAGGGTACTTTGTTACATCTGTAAAGGTAAAGGTAAAGGGACCCCTGACCATTAGGTCCAGTCGTGACCCACTCTGGGGTTGCGGCGCTCATCTTGTTTTATTGGCCAAGGGAGCTGGCGTACAGCTTCCGGGTCATGTGGCCAGCATGACTAAGCTGCTTCTGGCGAACCAGAGCAGCGCACAGAAACACCGTTTACCTTCCCGCCGGAGCGGTACCTGTTTAGCTACTTGCACTTTGATGTGCTTTCAAACTGTTACATCTGTAGGGAAGCTTTAATGGCAGTTCCATTTTTATTATTGCAGTGGTTTCTAATTCTGGTTAGTTGATTATTTCTAACAACAGCTAATATTGAAGCTGAGATAGCACTTGGCAGAAATTAAAACTGAAAGAGGAACAGTGGCGGGATTTTGGATTCTAGAGATGGGCAGGAAGACTGGGAATTCAGTGCATCATCTAGCGGCCTTCGCACAACTTCTTAATGGAGGATAATAATATTTCTGCATCAGCCCAAAGGTTTTGCAGCATTTCAGTCCATTTTTATTGCAGCAAACAACAATGAGAATGAGGCAGGATGCACATGGAAAAGTTATGTCAGATGTCATTAATTCTTGTACTTTTTCCAGGGATAAGCAGGAACCAGTGGGAATCTAAAATCCTGTTTTTGATATCATCCTTGGAAAAGTTACATAGATCTAAGAGACATATATAAGAGACAACTGTAAAACCTTAAAAACACTGGCAGGGTTAGATTAACTCTAACAGCATATGGTTAACTAGATAAACAAACAAAATACATGATGTAAGAAAATGTACGATACTTACCGAAGGGGTGGAGGGAAGTCTGAAGCTCGGCAGAGCCAAAGATGTATGTGAAATTTATTTGTATATTGAATGCATATTTAATGGAAATTAATAAAAAATTATTGATAAAAAAAAGAAAAGTTACATAGATAATCTATTCAACTTCAATTTATTTTGTTTAGTTCATGGGAACATTATCACTGCCTTGCACTTTAGCTATCTGTTTAGAAGTTCCTAGAGGTAGAAGTCCAGAGGTAGAAGTTTGGTACAGTCATGGTACAGGTTTCTCACACTGCCACCAGACTTCTTCCATATTTTCATTGGGCACAGCTCACTGTGGAAATACAGTGGTGCCTCGCAAGACGAAATTAATTCGTTCCACGAGTTTTTTCGTCTAGCGAATTTTTTGTCTTGCGAAGCACGAAAATCCCATAGGAATGCATTGAAATTCAATTAATGCGTTCCTATGGTCAAAAAAAGTCCAAAAAAAGCCAAATTTGGTACAACAAGAGTTTATTAAGTGCTCGTTAAAGTCACACATACTGTAAAGAGCATTTCAAAAATTGAAGGAACAATAAATTAAGTTTCTAAACATGACAGAAAAACATTTAAAAATCAACAGAAAATCATAAAAATGCAGAAAAAAACCACACAAGCTTCCAGATTTTTGCAAACCCCTCCTCAACTGTTCCCCCAGCCACCCACCACACAGAAATTCAAATCCAGATTTTTTTAAAAAAAACAGCAGAGTGGCCCAATGGTCACAGAAAATCATAAAAATGCAGAAAAAAAACACAAGCTTCCAGATTCTTGCAAACCCCTCCCCAACACCAAGTCCTTGAATTCCAAACACCCCAACCCAAAATCCAAAAACCCCAAAAAAGGTTTTAAAAGTTTAAAAGAAGTTTTGGAAACGCTTCAAAAATCACCTAAGTCTTGAAAAACCTCAAAAAGGCTACCACACCGCGTTCTATGAGTTGCTCCTCGACGTCAGGTCGCAACTGTATTAACGGTGTTAAGAAAAAGGAAACAAACTTGCAAGACGTTTTCGTTTTTCGTCTTGCGAAGCAAGCCCATAGGGAAATTCGTCTTGCGAAGCAGCTCAAAAAACGGAAAACCCTTTCGTCTAGCGAGTTTTCCGTCTTGCGAGGCATTCGTCTTGCGGGGCACCACTGTAAATTAAATCAATCAAACACTTCTGTCTGACCCAGAGTTCCCTATATCAGTTGTACAGACAGGAAGGGAAACAAGATGAGTACAAGAGTGAGTGGCTTTTGTGTATGTTGCGTTCCCTTAATATCTGAACCCATATGATGGCAAAAGGATGTCTTATCAGCAACGCACATGGCAGTTTTTAATATGGACTTGGAAGATGAGAGAGAAGCTACTACAGGGAACATCCATGGCGGACTGAGACCCATATTTATAATACAGTTTTTTATATTTATCAAAATTACAAAGCATTTTTAAACTTCCATGTAGGTTTGTTTTAAATAAGTAATTTTTTGATCTGTTCAGTGGAAAGATTGAGATCCACATCCCCTTGAAATCGTTGGCCATCTTTTAGAAATGTTTATGCTAAACTTAGAAAATTTGACATTTTTTTCTTCCAGTATCAATCCTTCCCATACAACAAGAATGGATTCAAAGTTGGAATGAAACTAGAAGGGGTGGACCCTGAGCACCAGTCAATGTATTGTGTGCTTACAGTAGCTGAGGTGAGTACCAGAAGTGACAAGCAGTTATTAATAGCTTTAAAATGGGATTAGAAATAACACCATAAAAGCTGGTGGCCATCACCTCACCTTTTGGTACCAAATTCCATAGTTTTAATTACGTGTTGTGTGAAGAAGTACTTCCTTTTATGTGTGCTGAATCTCCCATCAGTCAACTTCACTGCATTCTAGTATCAAGAGAGGTAGAAAATAGAAGATAGTGTTGAAAAGAAATACCAGCGTTCTCATTCATATACCATGTGTATGCCCAATATACCCTGATGCAAATGTGGACTAATGTGCATATACTACTGTGTTACAACCTTACTATCTGTTTTTCTATTGTGTCTATGTATTCTGGTTGCTCCCCTTTTCAGGATAATAAGTAAAGTTATCTCATAAAAAGCTACAACATTTTGTTTGAGAACTCTTCGATTCTGACTGCACGTATACCAATTTTCTAATACTGACTTTTTGGTTTAAATGTAAACACATTTTTCCTTTGCTGTATTCTTTTTTCCTACTATGGATTTAGACTTGTGGTTACAGAATTAGACTTCACTTTGATGAATACCCAGAGTGTTACGATTTTTGGCGGAATGCTGATTCTTCTGATATTCACCCAGTTGGTTGGTGCGAGAAAACAGGACACAAACTTCATCCGCCGAAAGGTATTAGATTACCAACAAAAAAAATCTGTGTCATATTAGACAATTGCTTTTTCTATGAATTTTGTAAAAGTAGCTGAGTGCTGGTGCTGAGATGTGCTTCTCACGCTGGGTACTAAAACGCCTGTGTATGGTGGCTCTCTGTCTATTGAGTGACATTGTATTCAGGGTCACTACTGGTTACACATGGAGTAACAAAGGGAGGTAAGCAGCCCCACCCCACCCTGCTTCTAGGATTGCTACTGTCCAATTGCTGTTCTCTTTGAGGGATAAATCTGGACAAGGAGATCTAATAGTATTTCTTATACCGCCCGTAGGTCTGAATGGGTAGATGTCGTTCAGATGGGTAAATTTATCATTTCCGTTGGATGCCTTTGAGCTGATTTCTGAACTTCATAGCTTCATGAGAACCTGTTAGGAACAATAAGCTCTGTTTTGTAAAGCAATAGGATTTATGGAGCATTATGCTGCAGTTCAAGCTAAAGTCCAAATGCACTTGGGACTAAGCTTCATCGAACAGAGTGGGACGTAAGAGTAAGCATCTAAAGGAATTTTTAAGACACACAGAAAAAATAGTGGCAAAAATGGTGGTGGAAAAACAAAGTGTATCAGGCCACCCAAGTTAGAACCTAAAGTCCTACAATCAGAAATTTGCATCTGAAAGAATAATAATTTGTAAATCAGACTAGGTTTTTTTTATATATAGAGAGAGAGACTTATCAGATCTCTTTTCTTATTTAAGAGTGCAATCCTCCAGTTCAGCATATATGCAGTTTTGTTATAGGTCTAACAAAGTTGCTTTATAATGCATCAAAATAGGTGTCCACTCAATTGATTTAAACCCAGGTTCATTAGGGTTTAATCCTGGCTAAGTGGGTATTAACAGTCTTAGACACAGTGGGTTGACCATATATAATGCTAAAACATACCTTGGCATTACATTAATGAAACTTGTACTTAACCTAACTGCACACTCTTGTTTTAATCTGTTACTTGCACTTTTCATGGACACAACAGGATACCATTGAAATGAAACTATACGTAAGGTTCCTCTGGACTAGAACTGCAAACCATACTTAACAAATAATCTAAGGGACAACTTCCTTTTGTTCTTTGAGAAGATGATAAATCCCAGACATGTATCTTGTTCATTTATAAGAGCTGAACAGAATTCATGAGCATGCATTGTCTGTAAATAGTATCTAGGCACTTCATCTCTTTACTAGAAAACGGATGACTGTGGCTTAGCTTTAATTTTTTTTTGTCTCAGTAGAGCTTTCAGTAGAAGCTTTTGCATTCCCAACTACAGGAATAATTTTAAAGTTACATTTTGCCAGATTAGGCTGGAGGCTCATAAGGCCCTCCAGCTAACTGAGGAGAGAGAGCCCTTGGCATCTTCTGAGTCACACTCTAGGGCGGTGGGCACTCTAAAGGCTCTCCCCATGTGTTTAGCCACCCCTCCCAGGGTCGCTTTTTCACAATAGAACTGTACTACATGGAAAGCAGAGTGGGACAGACTGGACAAGACTAAATTAGTGATTAAGATTGCAAAGAACATTATACCTTCGCAGGTGGCATGATGCAGTGATTGCATTTTCTGGTTGTAGATCCTCCTGTAATTGATCCCTGTGGCAGAAGGGTAGAAAGGGCCCTTTATAGGAGTTTTGAAGCAGATGCAGTGGCATTCAAGTCAGCCACCACAGCTTCCCTTTTTTCCTCTGGCTTTATTTATTTATGTATGTGGGTGGAGGAGCTGAATGCCAGGGATGATATCTCCCAGACAGTTAAGGATGGATTTAAGAATATATACTACTACTATGCCCTGGCAGCTGGCACCTCCTTTGATGTTTTTCAGTTTAGGGCCTCATATGGCTTCCACCACCATTGTGCATAGAAATGTGGGGTTGCAGCAGTGAGTTGTTAGTTCCAGTTTGCAGGCACATTGTGTCATCCTTGCCTCTCTCAAGGACCAAGCTGTTTGTCAAGGCACTTGAGGCTCATCTTACAGAGTTGCGGGACAAAACCAAGCAGCCCCACATTTTTCATCCTTCAGGGTAGTTTTCCCTCCCCAAGAGGTTACCAGCCCTACAGACTTAAATGGGGGATATTCTTCTGTGTCAGATTTTGCCACTGCTTGGTTCCAGAGGGCAGAAAGAAATCCTCAGTCTAACTACACCCGTTGTCAGGAGCTGTCTCCAGTGGAGGCCTAGCTCCTTCTTTTCCTTACCATTGGAATTACGTCAGCTCAGACAAGTGGGTGATTGAGATGGTGTTGAAAGGCTGTGCCCTGGAGTTTGAGCAATTGTCATGTGAATACTTCATTCGAACCCCTTGTTCTCAGCAGCCATCGAAATATTGCCCCCACCTTGACCCTACTGTTTCTTTTATTGTTTCCTCTTTGAATAGCTCTGGTTCCAGTTTTTTACTTTTGCTTATTTGGGGATGAGAAGTTGTTTTCTGCTCTGCCAGTTGATCTGGAGGGTGGGATAATTCCTCCCTCTAGAAGGGGAGGATAGAGTCTGCCTATCAAGTCCGGTAGGAGGCATCATCCTCAATACAGAATGCCCTCCAACCAGGTCAGCAAATTGCAAGAAACAGTCTCTGTTTTCCACTTAATTCTGGGATTGAATGATTTGGCAGAGTGAAACTGAGGTACTGTGCTAACAGGTGTGACTGCAGTTGACACAAGTGCACCATAAGTTTAATAGGTATGGCATTTTATCTTCTTCCTTTTCATGGGTTTCTTTAGGATATAAAGAAGATCAATTTAATTGGCCCTCGTATCTGAAGAAATGTAAGGCTCAAGCTGCTCCTAAATCCTTGTTTGAAAACCAAAACGCAGTGAGTTTTCTCTGATTATCCCAGCTTCTTTGCTGATAGTTGCTTTTTATATTATGATTACATTGTTTTTCTGTTAGTACTATGACTCAAACCCTTAGTCTAAAACAAGGGAAAAGGCCCAAGTAAATACAGAGTTGGGTTCACACGCATCAATCCCTGCCTGTTTTCCATGGTGAAATTCAAACTATTTCCTTATGTTGAGGGAGATAGTTCATCTTATATCCAAGACAATCTTATGTGAAGCTGTTGATGCACAGTAACACAGTCCACAGATTGCACTCAAAACAATTAGATAGGTCCTGGGTGGATACAGATTACTATTTTCCCACAGGTTTGTATCAAATGTGTATGTAATACTTGGCGAGGCGAAATAGACAACTGGCTTACAAAGTGTGCAGAGATCAGGAGCAACTACTGTAAACAGTGGCTTGTATCCATCACCTGTTCAGGCAGCACAAAACCACAAATGGCCAGTAAATCTCTTTTGTTGTCATTCCAAAATGGACAGGGCGTAATAGTTAAGAATTTTTTAAAAAGATTAATATATGATAAAGCATGATGCTGAAAATTGTTTTATTCTACCACTTTCATGTGAATTACTGGCTCATCCATACTGCTGGGACTCCTTTCTTTTTAGTAGCAAGATTGTGGATTGATTGTGGATAGTCAAGAGACTTTGGGATGCATGGTTTATTATTATTAATCTGCATTTCTTTATTTCTTTTATGTAGTGCTTTAGGTACTTAAATAGACCAGTTCTCTGTTCACTGTTAATGCTTGTCCTTGATTAGACGGTGATTCCATCAGGGTTTCGAGTGGGGATGAAGCTTGAAGCAGTAGACAAAAAAAACCCTGCATTCATATGTGTTGCTACAGTAACTGACATTGTGGACAGTCGTTTTCTGGTTCATTTTGACAACTGGGATGAGAGTTATGACTACTGGTATGCCTTTTTAAATAGCTTGTTTGTTGGAATGATAAGCATCCCCAAAATTCTACCTTGTTAATTTGTTGTTTTCACTCCCCACCCCCCCCATGGTTGCTATGAACAGTAGTGCCTATATTTCCTTAAGATGTCCCTAGATTTTTGACAATGCAGTGGTACCTCGGTTTACAAACTTAATCCGTTCCGGAAGTCCGTTCTTAAACCAAAGCCGTTCTTAAACCGAGGCCTTCTTTCCCTAATGAGGCCTCCTGCCACCTGTGCCCTTCCACCATTCAGCTTCCGTTCGTAGACCAAGGTAAAGTTCGCTAACTGGAGCATTACTTCCGGTTTATCGGCGTTTGTATACCAAATAGTTCGTAAACAGGGCTGTTCTTAAACCAAGGTACCACTGTAGTTGAAAGATGCAAAGTATTATATGGTCTGATTAGTGTGTGCATCCCCTCCCTTATAAAGGTTTGCAAGAGCTGTTAACGTTTGAATTTCTTAGTTCTTTGCTGTGGGTGGGGAACTGGATATGACCGCTGAGCCAGATCTTTATATCTCCTAGCCCCCAGTGGGCCATTAACATCATGCGAAGTGGTGCTTTGAAGCCTCAACAATCAGCTGTTTGTCAGGACTTCAAAATGCTGCACAGAACTCTCTTTGCAAGGGCCCAAATGGAAAAGCCATTCGAGAAGTTCTCTGCCAGGCGAAAGGTCACAGGTTCTCAAACCTTCCCTCCTTCCTAATCTTTCCAGCAACATTGCACTTGCATGTGATGGCACGGCTGCTCATGAGGAGAAGGAAAGTTGCTAATATAGACAAGGCCAGCTGTGAAATATTACACAGAGAGCATTCCTTCTAGCATAGTGACAACACCAACAATATGGATGACAGTTGCACATTAAGTGGCAAAAAGCTGTCTGCCAGAAAAATAGTTTGCTCTCACATACACCACTGATCAGTGAAACTAGCTGAGCTGGTTACTTAGGAAGAGCATCCTCTCAGGAACTAAGGATTTTAGCATAGTGTCAGCCAGAATTTTGGAACAATGTTCCTATTGAATTCAGAGAGACACCCACAATTCTGATGCTGAAAACATTCCACCAAGCATTTTTAGAGTTTTAATTTCATTCAGCGTTGGTCATTTGTCCTTTATTTTATTACCTAATTATCTAATTTTATGATGTTTTAATGATGTTATTGTACACTGTCACAATACTCTTTTTTATTAGTTGGCAGTGTATAAACATTCATATAAATAAATTAAATTTCCTCAAGATCTTATCAAACGATCATCAAAAGAAATTGGATCTGCAAACCAATAAGCAGGTCAATGGTAGTTCCATTATACTTCGTCTGCAGAACTGTCTTTATGCTTTTATAAAGCTTTGGCTTAAACGTTCAATTAAAGGATACCACGTTGTAATGTAAAAAGCATAGGGAATGCTGTTGGTCCATCAGAAAAATGTCAAAATGCACAGTTGAACAATAACTTTACTAGAGGCAAAGACTCAGAAATCGTGAGCAAGAAATGTATCAAGCGAATAGAAAGAGAACCTACCCAGCTGACGCTGACACAAAACCCCACACATACACTATAGAAAAGAATATAAATTCCCCCCCCCACTCTTTTTCCCTGACCTTATACTATACTCAACACAAACATCTCATAACAAATGTAACTGATCTGTAGAAAAGACGTAACAACATGAATGAAGAGACAATGCACGTACTTTTGTAAACCAAGAAAATCTTTAATAAAAATTATTTTTTAAAAAAGAAATAGTGAACAAGCATTTGAGTTCTCCATAAATCTTCCTTAGATTGGTTTTCAAATTGAGGCGATATTGTTTCTCTCATTGGCTGTGTTTGCACATGACACTAAGCCAAACCTTGGCTTCATGCAAATGTGCAGACTGCCAGGGAAAGTAATTTCAGCTGCTTTGCTCGTCTCCAAGCCTTTCAGCACAGTCACTAAGCCAAGGAGCAAAGTGGCTGTGAACACTTCTCAGGAGGCAGCACGTTTGTACCATTCTAGAAAGCCCGAGGTACCACTGTAGTCTGATGTTTAGGCCATGAAACCTTCCATCTCCTTTTCCTAGTGTGAATGAATGCTGTCCCAATGCTTGGCCACAGAAACGGGTGACCATTGCTTTGCTTTTAACACGTTTTTCGATACTCTTGAGCTAGTCATTCATGTTTAAGTGTGAGGCAGACTTGCTTAAGGAGGTGGGGTTGGTTGCTAGGAGAGCTTGAGAGCAAAGGCAGAATAAAACTGCAGAATGTCAAAGGGCAAAGAAACTGAAGATAAAGCAGAAAAAAAGAAAATATACCCTGGAACAGAAGAAAAAGAACCTTTTCTGAAGACACAGGGAGGTTGTTTAAAGCTGCTGCTTGATCCCTTCGGCATTACGTCGTGGACATGCTGCATTCAAGTTCTGTTGAAAGCACTGGAATTTGACTTTGACTAGCTTGTCTCATTGATTTTAAATGGGATATGGGCACCTTTTAAACATTACAGCAGCATCACGTTTCCCAGGGGATCATCCCTTGGCAGGGCTGCAACTTTTAAAGAGCTTGGAGCAATGCAGGTGGTCCCAGTGGCACAGGCTCCCAAACATGAAGTTGTGATTGACCCAACACCCACGGTTGCAGACCTTTTCACTCATTCCCCCCCTAAAGTATTTATATTCAGTCTTTCAGAGCAGAGCCCTCTCAAGGGAGCTGGCAAAACACAATTTAAATGCCATAATACAGTTTTTAAAATACAAAGAGCCATTTCCCAAATTGAAATGTCAGCAGCTTAAAACAAGTTTTAGAAGCCAAGCTCACAACAAACTTATTAAAATGCATACTGAAACAGAAATGATTTTAGGGTCCATTTTTAAACGATAGGGCATTTTATGCTGTTTTTGTTTTGGGAGTGCTAAAGGCTCGGGGCCACCACCAGAAGGCCCCGCATATAGTGCCTGCCTGTCTGGTAGACTGTAATGGGCAGGCCAGCTAGCAAGGCCCCAGATACTAATCTTAGAGCTACCTCACATGGATGTAGGTAGACCTTCAAATAAATAATGTGGTCCTTTAAAAAGTTACAGCTACACTGGAATGAATCCACAGGAGAGTGGCCCCCACACCTGGAATCTGACAGCAGAACTTCATGTTTCATGGAATAATAGAATCATAGAGTTGGAAGGGGCCAGAAGGGTCCTTAGTCCAACGCCCTGCAAAACAGGAATCTTGCCCAACGTGGGGCTCGAACCCATGACCTTGATATTAAGCTGACTGAGCTATCTCAGCTGCCTTAAGCATGATATGCATTCCCACCCCCCAAACTTTTGTCAAGAAAAACGAATGTAAACAAACTTTTGTCAGGGAAAAGTGTCTTCAGACTGAATGGAATACGGGTAGGTACGGCTGTTTATTCCTAAAGGTAAAATATATGAATATTTTACTTATTGGAAATTAAAGCAGGTTGGCTATTGAGTGAGGGAAAGAATTGCGGATTTGTAACATGTAGTTCTTACCTCAACTTTTATGTTGCTCTCCTTTTGCTCAACGTCTATAAATACTTTTTAAATTGTTTGCTATTTTATTAAATGTGAGAGTTGAAAAATGTAAATGAGATGAATGGGTTTTCGTTTTAATTTTGTGGATGCTAGCAGTTTACTTTAGGTTAAAAAAATAAGTTGTTACTCTCAAAAGCCTTCAGGATACTCAGAAATGCTTAGCTGGGCTGTGAGAAGGGAAGAACCACCTCTTCATAGAGCAGAGCAACATATGATATTTCAGCATTTCCTTAAATTAACTTGACATATGTTCATAGTGAGTTTGACATCTGAACACTAGATGGTGCTATAAGATGACTTGTGTATTATTAGAGCGATTCCTCTTTAGCAAGACCAGTATTCAGAACAGTGTGTGTGTGTGTGTGTGTGTGTGTGTGTGTGTGTGTGTGAATTTCTGTCTCTATACCCTTTCCATTTTGTTATAATTCAGCTGTGAATCATTATTTTTTAAACTGTTGAAATACTATTATTAACTGATTACTTACAAGTCAGGGGCTCATGGTAATACAAGTGCTTTACAAATGAGAGAGCTCTTTTTCAGAAAAGAAGAAAGGTTCATAAGCATATATACATTATGCCAGAGTCTTCAGACAGCATTCTGTAGAGTTGCCTATCAATCTTACTGAACTAGAGAGCTAATTCTACCACAATAGAACAATTTGCACAGTTTGTATTTTATTGGCTTAAATGTTTGCTTCTCCATATGCTCGCATATGCAACTCACAGCATCTAAAAACATCTTCAGACATACAAATTGGAAGAACAAAAAAGCTACAAAATGTAAGCTTGTAACTAGCCACTCAAATAGTTACCTATGGTGAATAAAATCAGTGCATTTTATTCTTTCTCCCCCACCCCCCATCCTTTTTGGGTTATATATTAGTGTCTTAGGCTTGTGTTCACAGGTAACCATTTTTTCTCTGGGTAATTTCTGAATGGTTTGTAAGGCAGAACCAATTCTTTAGCTGAATTTTTTAGGCCAGAAATTAATGTGCTCAGACAAAATTCCTTTGAGAGGCTGTTTCTTGGAGCTCCGGAGCTTGTCTAGCATTTTTGTTTACAGGCAGCCCAGATCTCTGTTGACCATAAGCTGCTTTAGACAGACCCTAGGAAGCTGTTTAAGACATTTATAGAAATGAAATCTAACTAAATCAACATTTCTCCCGTAGGTGTGAAGCAGCTAGTCCACATATTCATCCAGTTGGCTGGTGTAAAGAGCACAGAAAGACCCTTGTAACCCCTCGAGGTCTGTATGAAAGAGCATGTCTGTGCACAACTTTATTTCACAAGACTAGAAATTGTAATGTGGGATTACTTATAGTAAAAATCCTCTCACTTTAAAAGTGAGCTTGCAGGGACAATAATGGGAGAAGGGAGAGAATAAAAATGTATGCCAGAATATTATGTACGCTGGAAAAGGTGATATCCTGATCATCCTTAAAGTACTTAAGATTTTAGAGGTACATCCAGAAGTGGCTTTGTTATGACAGATAGTGCTTCAACTCACACAAATCAGGGCACCTGATTCTTGCCTTTCTTCCAATAGCAACTTAGGGACATAGTGGGCAGCTGCCTTATATTGAGTAAGCGTATTGGTCCATCTAGCTCAGTACAGTCGTTCCTTGGAAGCCGAACGCCTTGGTACTTGTATGCTTTGGCTCCCAAATGCTGCAAACCCGGAAGTGACTTTTCTGGTTTGCAAACGTTCTTTGGAACCTGAATGTCCGGTGTGGCTTCCGAACGTTTTGGAAGTCGAATGGACTTCCGGAACGGATGCCGTTCGACTTCTGAGGTACGACTGTATTGTTTAGACGTGACTGGCTGGAGAAGCTGGAGACTGAGGCCAGGACCTTCTACATGCAAATGAGATGCTCTACTGCTGAGCTACCATTGACTACAACCCTTAACTGTGCTGAATTTTAACAGAATAGGGAGCTCATGTAAGCCATTATGTGAATAAAGTGAAAAGACTACCATGCAAAAGAGAAAATGTGTTACAGAAAACGGTAATAACTAGCAGATGAGAATCAATAAACTGTGGAAATCATGAATAATACCTTGGAGCTATGAAATTAGAGCATGAAAATCTTCTTAAATGTACTATAAATATTGAACCTGCAAGTGATGTAATTGTAGCTTGCTAGTAGAGAGTTTTGTAAAATAGCCCACACAGAGTGATGGTGTAATTCACTACCATATTATGAGTCACTTGGAAAAGTAATGCTTTGTAAGCTGTTACCTTTTAACAGTATGCATTTTATAAACAGAGAAAACTCAAATTGGCTTTCCCACAGTGACAATATTTTCCCTCATGATAGTAGCCAGTATGAAGCTATATTCTGCATTTACAGTGTTGGTGGAAATTTTGTCTAAAAAGCAGCTTTGCTAAGATACTACTGGCTAGGCAGGGGACTATCTGCATTTAAAGCTGATGTGTAACTCCAAAGGTTCAGATTAGTACTTGACTCAGTAAAACGTTAAGAGCTGGAATGCACAGGCCTTTTAGTTTTCGATGCTTAGATGCTCAGAGTCACAGCAGAATTTTGTCACTTTTGGTTCTTTATGTATTCTAATAATTCCAGTCTATTTTATACCTGAGATTCTAATAAGTGGAGTTCTCTTATTTTTAAATCTATAGTTGTAATGAAGCCACTGTCTTGACTGAACGAACTATTCTGATGTCACTGAAGTCCTTTTTGGGATGTTCAATCACATGTAGAAGGAGTGGGGCCCTGATGCTGGGCAGCCCTGACATGACAAAAGTTGAAGCCGGTCGACGCAGTGTGTTAGGTTTCAAAGCGTTTTTGAAGCCTGTGTTTACAGTAACATGAGTACCATATTTTTTGCTCTATAGGACGCACTTTTTCCCCTCTAAAAATGAAGGGGAAATGTGTGTGCATCCTATGGAGCGAATGCAGGCTTTTGCTGAAGCCTGGAGAGCGAGAGGGGTCGGTGCGCACTGACCCCTCTTGCTCTCCAGGCTTCGGGCAGCTATCTGCAAGCCTTTGGAGCGCGGCAGGAGTTCCCGTCGGGCTCCGAAGGCTTGCGGATATCAGCCTGCAGCCCGAAGCCTGGGGAGCGCAGTGCCAACTCCCACTGCGCTCCCCGGGCTTCAGGCAGCTGTCCGCAAACCTTTGGAGCGCTCCCCCAGCCCACAAGCTCCGGGAGCGGTGGCAGGGCTGCGCAACCTTGCCTCCGCTCCCGGACCTGTTTCCGCTTCCCCCGCCCCAGCCCCGCGGCTAAAAACGAAGCCGCGCACAGCCTCTCCCGGCTGGAGAGGTTGTGCGTGGCTAAAGAGGAAGCCAAGACAGCCAGCGGGATTGATCCCAAGTGAATTGATCCCAATTGAAGCCAAGACAGCCAGCGGGAATAATTTTTTTCCCTTTATTTCCCCCCCTAAAAACTAGGTGCGCCCTATGGTCCGGTGTGCCCTATGGAGCGAAAAATACGGTAACTGCCAAACAGCCACTTTAAGGGAGTGGTGACTCAAGAGATGCTTTGGCGTAATTACTTTTGTCCTGTCTCAAGCAATTGGAAGATGGCAACCACTTGGTGGTGTCCTAGTGCCCACTCAAGAAAAAGGGGCTCACCTCTGGAAGAGGAAGTGGCACGAAGCAGCAGAGGGCCGAGGAAAGAAGAAGGGGGTAGGGAAAGAAGAGGCAAGAAGGCAAATGAAGGCTGAAGGAAATAATGCAGAAAAGGAAGGGTATTGAAGGAAGTGAATGTGTAAACACTGGAAATGATGTAGTTGAAAAAGAACAGGGAAAATATGAAGAGATAGTCCCAATGAATATGGTGTGTGGGAGAAGCACACAGACAGGTAAATAGGTGGCCTTATGCATATAGTTGTTAGGAGAACAACCGAGGAACAAGCAAAAGTAGGATTAGAAAATGTGCAGAGGAGAAAGGTGACTGGGATCGTGTGAGGATTAAACGTTCATTTATTGATTCATAACTGCAGGACTCTGATCTGCTCAGAATCCTTAAAATAATTGTTACTGAGGGCCGCCAGAGGCTTACTTCTACCATAACCTTTTAATCATTTTTAAAGTTCAGGAGCTTCTCTTTGATGATGTTGTGTTTTAACTGTATGACAACACACATTAGAGTAAAACATACACATCCTCTGAAAACTAGTCAGAAGGAGTGAAATAATATGAAAAATAGATGTGGGTCTTCTCAAGGTGAGATATGAGAGAGGTGGCTTCGGGAGCTTGGGTCTCTGTCCACAGGGAGGCTGACAAGTCCCATTATTCATATTTTGCATTGCAGGATGGCAGAAGGAGTGCAAGCATATTTATTTATTCTTCTGTTGCTTCTTTAAACCTAACAAGTCCTGAAAAACATCCTAACTCTGTGTTGCGTGACATAATTACATCTTGTATCATCATTTATTTTCCAGACTATCCACATGCCAAGCATTTTTCTTGGGAGAAATATTTGGAAGAAACTAGTTCTTTACCAGCACCTGCCAGGGCTTTTAAAGTGGTAAGAAAAATGTGCAGTGTTCTCATATGCCTATCTCATGCTTCATGGCTGTTCCTATGCTTCGTGGCTTCTACTGGTAGAAGCTTCTCCTGGGAGGAGTTCTGCTCATGTGACAGTATAGGAAAGAAGAGAGGGGATTTTCAGTGATACTTCCTTTTCCCCTGCAGCTCCCTTGTGCCCCTTGAAAATCTGCTTTGGAGAACTGGCAGGGCAGGGGCTCCAGGAGAAAGGAGAATCATCAAATAGTAAATAAATAAATGCCTATAAATTAGTGACCACCACTACCTCGGGCCCAAACTCTACACATGTGTGAGTGTTTTTTCCTCCATAAATTGCCAGAGTGGAGAGGGGAAATCCAGAGTGTGGCACCACTGCGTGGAATCCTAATCCATATTGTGAGCATGCATAGCTGTAGTTTGCGTTCGGGAAAAAGCTCATTTGCCCCAAAGCTTCCTTCCCCCTCTCAAACACAAATTGCAAGTGAGGGTCCGTAGTCCAACCAGCTCCTGCATGCTGGCAGTTTAAGAAAGAAGAGACTGATTCTATAATTAGCCATAAATTCTATTAATTCACTGTGCAGTATATGAATAATTCCTTCCTTTTTCTATTCAGATTCTGCTGGCAGTCAGTTTTGTTGGTGACCCTCACTTGTAGTTTTTTGAGAGAGGAAGAAAACTTTCCTTCTATCCACACCATTCATTGTTTTATAAAATTATTTAGCTTAGGTGTTTTATATAAACATATAACCTTAATGGTTTAAAAGCTACCAATGTTTCAGCTTTGGAGGCAAGTTTCAGTTCAGCAGGTACACAAAAACAACAGCTAAGTAAATCAGAGGGTTGAGGGTAAGAGAGAAATTGGCATGATCATGAAGCCACAAAGTCTACCTTTTGGGACAGTCTTAAGATATTCTGCTGGTGTCTTGGCCAGTAAGTCATAGCAAAATATGAAAAAAATGAAAGAATAGTAAAGCAGGCAGCCACAGTAACAACAAAGCAGACGGCAAACACGTTTATAACTGAGCTATAAACAAAGTAGCATATAATAGTATATTGGCTTTTCAGCTTGCAATCAACATGCATATCAAAATAATAATATTGCTATTTTGTAGCTGTCAAGGCAAAATGCTCAGGCAAACGTTTATTGGGTATGTCTTTTCTTTCTCCACCCTGCTGTATAATGAAGAAGCTAAATAATTTCTCCCACGAGAGGTAGATGTGGGAAGTGTAGATTGAAATCCCATCAAAGCATTTCAACAGTATTAAAAGGGCTGGACATAGGAAAAGGGAAATTTGCAACAACCATTTCCTCCCACTTCCCACTCATAGAAGTCTCAGCTGGACCAAATAGCTTTTCAGCGGTGGAAGAACACAATTGCATACAACACAACGTCATTAACAAAGGGTTTTTTTTAAAAGCTATGAATGCCAGTTTAAGTAAGTGCATATGCTGTTTTAAATTTTTAGTTTAATTGACTGCAATTATTCATTGTAAACTATGGGAGCAGCTGTAACAAATCTGATTAATGTTTTTTTTTTTAAAAAAAATTCTTTTATATTTATTTTCTTTTGGTTATTTTTAATAGAAAAGAAGGATATAAATAATAAGCAGCTCAATCTCTTCTTTGTTGTAGAAACCTTCTCATGGATTCCAGAAGAATATGAAACTTGAAGTAGTTGACAAGAGAAATCCTGTACTAATCAGGGTCGCAACCGTGGTAGATACTGATGACCACAGAATTAAAGTAATTCATACTTTTAAATATATTTTAAAATTACTGTATTGAACAACAATCCCTTCTGAGTGGTGGTATCATGTTACACACACTGTCCCACATGGCTTCTCCATTCACTCCCATAGAAGGGAGAACAAACATCCACAGGCGTAGAAATTATTTCCTTCAATTTAAAGTGAATGAAGAAGCCTGCAAACCCAGCAGTTCCATAATCACACATGAGGCTTTAGTTCCGGCTGAGTTGAGCACTAATCTCCAGTCATTTTACTGCAAATTCCACCTGAAATGTATTGCTTGGTACATTGTGTCCAAAAAGTATTGAAATAAAGGTATACGTTCAGTCATATCCTATTTCACCTTGTACGATGCTAGTCCTTCAGACCCCCATTCATTTCCTCTTAGATATGATATAAAAATGAAACAAGCAAGGAAAGAAAACATTTAAAACATTTTTACTACCGTACGTATTTTAAACTCCATGACTTGTTAACAGCGCTTTTATCTGCTGGTTGTTTTTCGGAACTACTTTCTTGCATATCTACAGTGTTTGGTATCACTTATGGCTTGCAGGAAGAGGAATAATTTTAGAAAACCAGAACTAGATGCCTCAAATAATGCAAGCTTAAGTCCTCAAAACTTTCATCCTGTTCTAGATAGTACTTAACCTTTTTATCATCATCATCATCATCATTATCATTATTACTTAGTGCATAGTAACAGTATAACTGGTGTGTTTGGGGCAGGGGAATTTCAGGGGGATGTGGGTGGGGCAAAAATTGTGGCGGTCCATCAGGGGCTCAGTGCCCTATTTTTATTGTATGCCTGTGACTGCAACAATAGGATCTGTCAAAAGCACTGGAGAAGCTTCACTGTATGGTCAGCGAGCTATGTTTAACTTGATGCATCACAAGTTATTCTGGCATCACATAGACTCATACTGAGGACCATTCTGTACTAAAGAAATTGTTAAGCTCATGCATCAACACTTTAATAAACTAGTTGTCATTGTGGTCTATTTCTTATCTCAGTAAATGCAAAAGCTGTTGTAACTTGTAAGATGAGAGCCTGGTAGATAATTCTGAATTACTTGACAAACTTTTTCTCCCACACACCCTTGTCCAATACATAATGCCTGAAATTTGAACAAATGGATTCTCTTAACCATTATGTTCTCTAATGAAAGCCAAGCACTCTTGGAGATTGCATGGGAATAGAACTTTGCTTAAGTTTGAAATGAAATATTCCTTTGTGTTCTAGGTCCACTTTGATGGCTGGGACAGTATTTATGATTATTGGATTGATGCAGATAGCCCTGATATCCATCCTGCTGGCTGGTGTGGGAAAACTGGACATCCTCTTCAGCCCCCACTTAGTGAGATGTTCTATAAGATATAGTAGAAGTTTAAAGAAAGGATATTGAATACCTGCCCTTTGTTTGATGCCACCTCTGTAATACTGAATAAGTCTAGTATGCATAACAAAGCCAGTATCTTTGAAGCAAATAACCTTGGTACTGGAGACTGGGAAATAGTGATATTCTTAATTTCTGACTTGATATTAAATATGAATTCACGTTACTCCAGATCATGGCAAAATTATAGCTCTTTATAAATTCACATTCTGAACAAAGGATGAACAGTTTTTGTTTTTGTTTTTAAAAACCTTTGTTATGCCTTCATGTGCTTAATCAATTGATCTAACCCTTTTGTTGATTAAATGTTGCATCCCTATTATTTCACTGTAAAAAATAGAAACCAGTATATGAATGCTTTTAAAACATCCTCTAGATTCTGAAGAAATATTTCTAAAGTATGTGATTGACTTAGAAAAAGTGATGTGGCATATTAGAGCCAAGTCAGTTACTGCTGTAATAGTTTATAGAATCATAGAATTGTAGTTAGAAGTGAATACTTGGAGGATCAGTTGAGAATAATGCTTGCTCTTGGAAACAATTGATAAATTAACCTCTTAAGTTGTAGTTTCCTTATTGACAAAAATTTTCTGGGCGGAAGAGGGTGTTCATTTTTTGCAGGAGGAGTTAAATTTTCAAAAACAAAATAGAAGAAATAAATTCTTAATAGCTTGTGAAAGAAATTGCATCTATATCCTGAATGCAGGAATATTTATGTGCAGAATAACATAAATCATTGTTTGATTCAATATTCATACAATCGAGTCATAATTTATTAAAGAACAAAATACTTGTCAGTTTTTGACTAACAAGATAATGAAATAGTTGCAGGAGATTTTAGTAAGGTTTAAATATTCTATCTTGGTAATTTGTACTTGTTGGTCTTCAGCATCTTAAACAGATGTTCACTAGAGTTTGCCTAAACGTGAGACATAACTTCCATTCTTACAAATGACTTGCATCTTACCTCCCATATTATTTGTATAGGTCCTTTGGAATTGGTAGAAGCTTTAGAACAAGGAGGATGTCCTACAGCGGGCTGCAAAGGAGTTGGACACATAAAAAGAGCCAGACATACGGGCCACCACAGGTATGTGTGAAATAGCTAAACTTGGATGTCCAATTAGAATCTGCACATACTTGATTTCTAACACAAGCTTATACACACATCTCCTCAGAAGAAAGTTCCATGAAGTTCAATAAAACTTACACCCAGGAAATGGGGTATAGAATTGCAGCCTTAATTGCTGTTTGTGAAAAAGAAGATGTGGACTAGAGGAAGAAAACAGGAATTCAGGTTACCTCTTTGGAATGAACATGGAAAGGTTTGGAACTTCATTGGTACGTTCTGGTTTAAAGCTCAGTTGTGTGATGTAATTCTTGCTGGGTTCTCTCTCTCTTTCTCTCTCTCTCTCTCTGTGTGTGTGTGTGTGTGTGTGTGTGTGTGTGTGTGTGTTTGCGTGTGTTTATATCTTTATACGTACACAAACAATGTAGCCTATCTTTACAGAGTAGTTTTCACAGGTTTGTGCAATTGGTGAGCACATCAGTGTTTCATCTTTGGGTATCTAAGTGCGCCTGATAGCCTCTATTGAAGTAAAAACATGTTGTTTTGTCACTACTGTCAGCTAGATAGACATAGTTAAATGCTAACTTGGTTAATATACCCATCTGTGGAATGTACCCCTTACTTTGTGCCAATTACTACTCCTTCTGCTTAATCTAGAAACCAACACTCTTGTTCTTCGTTGTCACAGAGACTCACTCCTTGTAGTACGCTACTGGAAGGAATTTTTTTATTTTGTTTAGAAATGCGTGTTTCAGAATTTCTGATCTAAGCACCACTCAAAATAATTGGAATACAGATAAAATATATTATTAGTTTCTCCCCCTGCCCTTTCTTCAGGCATTTGTCAATGTGTGTTCAATGAGTGAGATGGGAGAAGTGGAGACGGGGGGACTACCCCCTCCCCCTGCCTCTGCCCCATTGCTGTGCCCATTGCCCTCCATGAATTGGAGCAACTATTTGCAGTAGGGGGACTTGTTTGTACATGCGTACATATATACATAATATAGCATATATACATAGATATCTGGTTGAAGATGAAAAGCATCAATATAAAGCAGGTCAGCACAAATATGTACTATATTTGTTACTACATAATGCTAAGGAGAAAGAAAACTAATTCAGTTATAACTTGTATTTGCTGCTACTGCAGTCTTACAATTCAGTTTGAGTACAAATTCAACTATATTAAAATTACTGGGACATTTAGTTCAATAAGCACTCAGGGGAAAAAATAGCAGGAGCCTACAGGTTTCTGAATCCAAGTCATCCTAGAATCCTCAGATTGTGTCCCACTGTCCACTTGAATTAAAAGGACAATATAAAATGGATATAATTATCTACGTCAGGCTTTATTCCGTGGGTTCTTTCATCTCAGCGCTGAAAATGTACTTTTGAATTTTTTATGACAAGGTGCATTTATGCTGTCAGAGCATGTGTCTGAGAGTAGGCAGATTGGCCATTTTCTGAGTGTTTTGCTTGAGCTGGATGAAACCTGCGGTGATTAATTATGGCAGGGTTAAAATGAGCACCTTTGAAAATGTAGATGTTAAAAAGGGCTTTGGGGGTTCTGCTTTGCAGAAAAGTGTTTGGCCTTGCATACAAATGGGAGTGTCTGGTGTGTTTATGTGAGGAATTGTGTATTGAATGTCTTACAAAGTATACCTTATAATACAAAGGTCAGCCAACGTAGAATTGATTTTAAGATTCCTGTATAACTCACCTGGTTGTGGAAGAGTGTGAAAATCTTCATAACCTCAGAAGCCCTGGGGGGGGGGCAAGGAGCTGTCCTGCATAACTTCCCGCCACCCCAACACTATAATCCTACTTTCCCTTTCTTCACTCTCTTGTTTGTAAAAAAAAAAACCCTCAAATTGTGTGACTATTTAGATTGACTATGTTCTGAGTATTTAAGCCCACATGCAAACACAGTTTCCCGTCCACCCGCTGGAAAGATTAATCACTATGTGATTCATTCTCTTATTTTTCTAGTGGAAATGTCACTTGTAGTCATTGATTGTGAAGATGTGGACTCCTTCTCTTGTCTATCAACAGAGTTCACAAAAACACTGTTGATTACAGAAATGCAATGTTTCTGTTGCTTTGCTATATCACTGGTTTCATTTCAATACAACGTGGGATTTACTATGCTGTTAGACATACTTCTGATCTGTCTAGTGCTTTTTAAAAATTAAAGCCTTCACAATTCCTCAGTAAAGAGGATGTCAAGTGAATCATATAATTTCTTTTTCTTCCAATTGTTTTTTAAGCTGTGTATTCATTTGAAGGGGATATTGTATACCATTTTGTTCTGGTGTCAACAACCCAATGTAGGGTATAACATGATTAATTTTTGATGATTTATGGTTGGCTTGTTAAATGGAGACCTGGAGGCTGTGCTGCTTGGGAGGATTTACGAATTGATTTAAAACACCAACACAGTGGTTTAGAGGATGGCGAAACATGCTGCAAGCTCATGCAGTCCCTCTTCCTCCTCCTCCGCCTTTCTTGTGTTTCCTCTTCCTCCATCTCCAAGTTACTGTTAGTTTTTAATGACATCTGAACTGAACAACTATGGTTAATGGCAACTTCCAAGCTTCAGTGGTGTAGTGGAAGGGAAAATTGGGCGAATGCAGCCCTTCTGCTCTTTCCAGAGCAGAAGTGATGACATCATTTGCTGGAGTACCAGGGTAATTGATGGTGTCTCCTGGCTCAGGTGAGTGACTGAAGAGACAAAGAGGCTTTAGCTGGCTGAATATCTTTTGTTGATGCTTAATGTGTTTTGCAAGTTTAACCTATTCATTCAGAAGTCAGCACCCCTAAGTTTAATGGACCTTACACTCAGGTAACTATATATAGGACTGGAGTCCTTCTTGAAAGACTAGACATTATTCCTTCATTTCTGTAGTAAACATTCCTTGCACAGCTACCTTTTTTGACATCAGTTTGGATTCTCCTTTGAGGGGCTATGGATTTAGGGTTTGGGGGTGTGGCTATGGGGACTGTCATGATTAACTCCTGCATTCAGAGTTTACCAAGACACCTAGTTTGTGCTAAACCATAGTTTGTCATAGTTGAACATGGTTATGGCAACCCAGAAATGGAGAAGGGAATTCGTTTACAAAGGAAGAGAGAGAACAAGCCTACTTGTATATTTCTCAAACTGAGCTTGTACTGCTCATGTGAAAGTCTCTTTTTACTTTGCTTTATTAAAAACCAAAATGGAAACCAAGACAAATCAACTTCATTTGTTGCTGAGTTCCAAAATAAGCCATCTGCATAATACAGTGCTAACGTAGTAGTCCTGTTTTAAGAACTGTAAATCTAAAGCATTCACTTATAAACGAAACTTATTTCCTAAAATTGGATACAGAACCTGTCTTAAAAGACATGAGTTATGCCTCAGTTCCTCCTACAGTGTAATTTGGTTTTATATTTTTAGTTGTCTTTTGTTTGTTTTACAGATTAAAATCTCCATTAACCATGTGTGTTGTATGGGACTGAATCATCTCCATTTTTCTTTCAAATGCAATACTGAACTTCATTTGCATTTCTAAGTTTTTAAATCAGATTTTGACTGTGCGGTCATAGTCAATAAATTGATTATTGAAATTGAGCAATGTACAGATAAATTTACCGCTTCCTGAGAAAAAGCTTCATTTATTTGAATCCCTCCTGGTTTAAAGGCAGGAAGATTAGCTTGCCTGGTGTCTCCTGTGAATAAATTGTGTGCTTTTTAATTCATACATTTTTAGTTAAATGCTTTATTTGTTGTTTGTATAGTTCCTGTACAACTTGCTGGTTGTTTTAAAACATAGTGAGCAAAGAAGGACAAACTTGGGCAAAATGCTTTCATTGTAGTTGTGGATCGAATGACATCACAGCTCCCATTGATTTTTAAGGTGCTAAGGTTTTACTCCAAAATTATATATTAGTTTCCCTATTTTCTAACATTGCAGTAGCAAGGAGATGGTTTTCCTTTCCTTTTATTTTTTGATTCTTTTATATTTTTTTACAAGTGTATATAATGGCAGAGATCTGAAGAATCTTGTGATTCATCCCATGCGCCAAAGAGCCCTCCATGCTATCTTTTGAAACTAAGTAGAGGATGATGGCCCCAGAGTTCAGTTGTGATCAAGGCGCACAGTTGGAGGCTGCAGTCAGTGGCTAAGGAGTCAGACCAGGTTGAGGACTCTGAACTTTCTTCTGCAGATCAGGAGATTACTGATCCTGAGGCTGACAAACAACCCATAGCACAACCTCCAGGGCCTGTAGAGCTAGAACCTGACTCACAGATGTCTTATTCTCACAGATGCCTTCCGCTGAGCCTGAAAAAACAAATGTCCCCCACAGTACCTCACCGGGCAGGAGGCTGTGTCTTCAGGCCAGAAGGTTGGCCCTTTAAGAATCTTAAGTTCTCACCAAAAGGGGTGGAGCCTGGGAGAGATGCAGGTGGAAGCTTTAAATGGCTTTCAGTCTTTGTCAGAGCAAGTTGTTCACTCGGAACTCTCCAAGGTACTGCAATCCTGACCTGCCACACACTGCATTACCAGGACAGAGTTTCAAAAGTAGTTTGAATCCCTTCTGTTTTTCAGGGAGAAATGTAAAAAAAATATTTCCGTGTATGCCCTAGCTCTCAGATTTGTTGAAAGTAGATATTTGGATCTTGGTTGTGATATTCAACAAAAACAACCCCAGCACCTACTTGAGCCCACCCTAACCCACAGTTTTTTATAAGAACTAATAGAAGTGAATGAGAAAGAAAGGCAGTTCAGAGGGAAGTGAAAGAACAAGAGAAGAAAGGCTGGCAACCCAAATGGAAGTGCATGATTGAAACAAATAAATGCACTAAGGAAAAATGTCAGTAGTATTCTATTATAAGACACTCTTCGCATGCTGCGCTCTGGCATTCTTTCTGTCAATAGCAAAAGAGCTGCAAGGCCTCCAGTACTGAAGAATTGATCTCTTTTCCATTCTGGAAAGCATCTGTAAGGATTGAATGTTGCCCAGAGCCAAATGCTTAAAGGAAAACAATGAAAGTTGATTAACACAACATACAGCTCCTTTGGTCCAAACCTGAAAAATACCTGGTGTTTTGGACTACCCAACAGAATAAGCTAAAGACTAAAAAGAGACTGGGATTGCTCTTTGTCTTTACATTTGCCATTTCAGAGTGGTTATATAGATTGCTAGGTTACTGCTCTGAGGAAGATGCTTGTGATATCAAAAGCAATTATGTCACAATGAGGGATAAATGTGAAATGGTAAGTGGGAGGATAGCTACTGTCTTGAAAAGAGAAGCCACAGGTAAATTGTGAGCTCATTTCCCCCCCTTATATTGTACAAAGGCAGTCCTTCCTAAAATAACAATAAAATGAAAAGAAAAGAAAAGAGTAATTCTCTTTCACAGTAGGTGTTCTAGTTTATTGACAAGTAAAGGAGAATCTCTTTCATATGCTTTCTGTTGTGTCTGGCAAAGTGTCGAAGCTTCATTTTGTGCATTCAGTTAATAGTTACATATCTGTGTTACTGTCAAAAGTTAAGAGCAATTTTAGGCAATTTGTGTGGCACCTAGGACTTGTGGGGACTATGATGCCAATTTCAGTTCCTAATTAATTTTATTTCATTTTGTAATTTTCACCTTGTTTTAGAAGTGTGATTTATTTAATTTATCCCCTTCCTTTTTAATGTATGCTATCAAATACTTCAGGAAATGTTTGTCTGCTTCTGGCAAAAAGCTCTGAAGCCAAGTGTCCTGTGAAAGCCAATGCTATATTCATACAGATGAAGCAGCTTACTTAACAAAAATTGCACTTGGACTTTCAATTCAGATTCTGAAGTTTCCCCAATTCCTCTTAGCATTTCATTTTGGGCTTCCAATCTCATTGCCTACTATTACGCTTGAACAGAAGTTCTCAAACTATGGTCTGCGAGTCACTGAGGGAGAAAGGCAATGTCATGCTCTTCTGATGGTTATGTTGGCGCAAGCATTGTAACTTATGAAACAGAATAATCCCCCTCCTCCTTCTCCTGCTGCATGCTATTCTGGGGATTCTCCCAATTCTTCCTGAGCTAATGGGGGGTGGGGGGGGAGGGAAGTCCTTGCATAGGGCTTTCATGGACAAGTCTAGAAGCTTCATCTAGGTGGTTTGAGAATAACATCAGTAATATCTTTACTTGGTCTTGCACTTGGTTAATTTTTTTTCAACAACAGAGATTGAGGCTGTTTTGAGTAGAGCTCAATTTATCTATCAAGCAGGCTAATGGGATTTTGGCCTAGGGCCATTGGTTTTCATAGCCAGTTTTGACAATTATGACTATGCCAAATGACAAAAGTTTATAAGTGGTCTGCTGAACGCCTAGCCATTTTGAAGTCATTCATGAGGGAAGAACTATGCCCATGGCAGTAACTCCTTCCCTCCGTTTCCAGCATAGACCCAATTTGACATTGGAGCTGAACAGTTACTATCAAGAAAGGTGAGTCAGGCAGAAGGGAGCAGTATTTTGGGATGTCAGTAACACCTAAACACCTGAAAATACTACAAAAAAGGCACAGTTCCTTCCACTACATGACAGAAACAACTTATGATGCTTTGTATGCCAGGGAAGGGGGAAAACAAAGCTGGCTGCTTCTACCTGAACAAACTAAACTGAAGAGAAGAGGTACTGACATCTTATGGCACAAGAAACCTACAGATGAATTTCTTTTATCAGTACATTTCCCTGATGAGGAACTTCCAAGTGTTGTGTGCTCAAATTTAGTTGGCACTTTAGTTCTAAAGTAGGAGTCCTGCAAGACATTTTTACTTGTATAGGTTAATGGATTGAGACAGGTTCCACCTAACTTGTAATCTTTAGGGTGTTCAGTTCAACTGGGAAGTCTTTTCAACGTCTAATCTCTTTTTACTGCTTCAATTTTTCAGTGCTCTCAGCTGCCCATATTCTGAGATAAATCTGAGCAAAGAACATATCCTTTCAGACCGCTTAAGTGGAGAGATGCCTCAGAGTATTCCGCCTCTGCATTGGAACCGGAAGCCAGAAGCAAATGAAAGATCTGCATCTCCTGTAATCAGGTAACTATGACAGAATTTTCCTTTATATGTAGCTTATAGTGCTTGCAGACTTAGATCAAATGCTAACCTTTCGGCACCTGCTAAAATCATTGTTTAGGCAAACCTACCCAGAATGCTTAGAAATGCTGATTTGAATTTTAATATTTTAATTTTCTGTATATTTTAAAGTATTGCATTTTTTCTTGATTTGAATCTTTTATCTTTTTAGAGGGTTTTTTTCTTACAATCAAATTATATATAATTTTTATGAACTAAATAATATACAGATTACTTTTTTCAATTAGAGCAAAATCAGATATCTGGTTAACATTTACATAATTTCAATTTTATTTATAATAACACAGAATAGTAAATAGATTTCAACCCCTATTTGAAATATTTGTATCATCTCCAGGTTCGGATCCTATTTTCTCCCTTTGAATGGAAGCTCCTGCCAATCATAGAAGGAAATGTGCTCATGGAGGGATCCCTTTCCACTTATGGAAAAACCTCTGTGAGCCCAACTGTCCTTCATGAATGCAGGTTTGATTCTGGAGTTGGGGTGCAAATAAATCCCAAAAAGAGATTTTCATATTTGTGTGTAATTGTATTTTCTAAATAGGAATCCATCTCAAATTGTAAAGATCTGAATAGCAGATAAGGAAATTGTATATGGTATTTTCCTACTGTATGGTGTTCAGCTTGCTATTAATTCTTCGGTTCTTTGATTAATTTTGACATGAATGTAGGATTTTGAAAGCTTGTCCTTTTATTTTAAATCAGTAATAGAAAATGTCCCAGTCCCGTTGCCCTAAAATCTTCAGCTCATCTCCATTCATCAAAGCAGGAAGACACAGAGGTGAAACCTCTTTGCAAAAAGCCTCTAATGCTTGATGTCAAAGAAAAGAACTACAGGTATCCTTTCAAATATGTTAAAAATAAAGAATACTCCAGCTCTGATGCTCATCATCATAGTGCCAGTAATTGCTTTCCTGAATTAAGTGCTTTGTTCAGGTGTCCTACTTGTTAGATGCACCATGTCATATAAATGATGCACTCTGTTACTGGAAGTAAGGGGATTAGGAATGCTTACTTGTGCTTGGCAAATAAGTGGGTGATTATGATTCAGTGAAGAGAGTGTTCCATGCATCATAGCAGATTGACACTTAAAGATTTCTCCTTTTGGACAAAACAGTAGCAGCTGCCTCACGGTGGGTGGGTCTTTTGTACCAGGGGTCAAACTTGTAGTATCCTGCCCAGATAACACTAATTCTGTGCTGATCAACATGATCAGGCATGCACAAGAGCATATCTGATGCAAATATTCAGGTTAAGAATAAGCATCTCAAGCATACTGTCTCAAGTGGTTGTTTGAGTGCTTGGTGCGTCAAGGTTGTCCTAGCTGTCATGAGTTGAGTACTTTTTCTATTGAACAGGGGAAGTGAAAGGTATCTAGTTTAGATATAGGCCACATTGCTTTCTTCTGTGCAGTTTCTATAGAAACTAGAATGCCATAACTGAAACTAGCCCAGCAAAGCATTGCACTAAGAAAATACTAACTGGTGTATGTGCGACATACTTTTTGGAAGCATATTTTTAAAAACATTGTATTGGAATTGAGTACATGATTAGAAGTAGTAGGTTCTCATGGAACTAACTGATGTAATGAATTAAAAGTTTATCCAACTGTGTTCTTCCACTGTTTGGTTCAGCAGAAATTGCTGTAAGTGAAAAATGAGACAGTTTTTGCTGATTTTTGTATACACACCCAAACCGGGGGGGGGGCGGTTTGCTGTACAGGGTTGGGGGACCCTTTGGAACAGTGTGGCAGGTGCGCCAGGGGGCTGCAGGAGAAAGGAAGAAGCTGCAGAAACCACCTCTTCCTCCTTCCTGCTCATGAAAGCCTCTGATTGATCTAATTGCCTTTTGTAAGCAGATCAGTACAACCCCAGTTTTTAAAGAAGTCTGTACAAATTATCACTGCAGTTATAGAGCACAATTATAACGCAAGCACCAGCTGCTGTGCCTTTGCCTAGGGAAGAATTATAGCCTTAGTTTGTGTAGTGTTGACACAAATTCTATATTGCCTACATGAATAATTCCCAGAAATATTACTGTCTATTTGCCTATTTCTCTTTCCATTTTGTCCTGTTTACTATGCACCAGGCTATCACATTTTACCATCTTTAAGGCTGATCTCTCTCTTGTTCCTGTAATTTTTTGGGCTTAAGAAACTGACAGATCTTACAATGACCACAAAGTCAGATTGCAGAAATATTGTTACTAGTCTTGTTTTCTGTTTAGGCAAGTCTATCATAAGGTTACCAGATTTTTTTCCCAATGAATCTGGGTATACTTTTCAACTTCCTTTGTAAATCCGGGGACTGTCCCCAGGAAACGGGGACATCTGGTAACCTTAGTCTATGAGACATGTAGAGGCTGCTGTTTTTATTGATAATTGTATTGTGTATTCATTTTGTTAAAATAAAAAACATGAAATAATCTCACTGTAGCATTAACCAATAATGCCAAGTGTTTCTGAAAGATATAAAGCAGATAAGAGAAATCTTCCTTTCATGGAGATTGTATTCTCCATATTTAGAGATACACAAGTTTTTAATTTCCTTTTTAAAAGAAATGTTAACTAGTATTTTTTTTTATCCATAGAAATGCATTGACCACCTTTGCAGCAGATACAGATATTTATGGCTTTAATTAAAAACAGGGCTTATATGAAGAAGGAAGAAAACAGTACTGTTATGTTACACCACCAGATGCTTGTGGGGGAAAGGATCTTTGCCTAAAGACCATAGTGTGGTGTCTGTTGTCTTGCTACAGTACAATGGGATACCCCAAATATAACACTTAACATATCATTTTCACAACAGCCCTATTATTAAGTGGCTGCTGATAACATGTGAACAGGGACAATGCACTCTGTTCAGAAAAGTTAATTACATGCAGTTGATATTTCACAGTAGTGTTTAGGTTACTGAAGCTTTCAATTTAATTAAGAACCAATTAAATCCCCAGAAACCTAGATCAAATTATTTTTCTGTAATTAGAATAGCCAAACACTTACTTTTCAATATGAGCATCTCCATATCAAGAAGAACAAAACAACCAGAAACAAACACACAGTTTTCCGTGATTATTAATGGAATTCTGTATATCAGCGAGAGGAGCTGTTGCAGAAAAAAATCTGTTGATATGTTCATTTCCAAACATCATTATGTTATTTCAAGCTTCATTACATCACTCACTGCAGTTTCTTTGTCACTTTTACTATTTACTCTCCTACTGTAATATTTTCTCTGGACAAAATGCATGTATTGTGGCACTCTTCCCCCATCGCAACCATGCAGGATACGTGTTGGACAGACAAGACTCCTTCACCTCCAGACTATTTTCATCAACATGTCTGTGTGACGTATTTTGTGTCAAATCTGTCTGCTTTTGTGAAATGCCCAGACCAGCAGCGAAACAGGAAAATCTTAGGCACAACCTCCCCCCACCATAAAATTTTGTTTAATTGTTAAAAAAACCAACAACCCTCAAAGTGGTTTACAACCTTGCACACATTAAAAAGAATCCCATTTTAATCACGGGGTTCTTTAAGGGTGCTACTGCCCTGTGGTGAGTTTTTCCATGCTAATGGCGAATGTGTGTGAACCACTATTCCGTTTTGCATATTCTTTATTGTGAATTAATTCTTTCACCGCATCCTGTAGCACTGAATTAAATTATAAGGATAGATGGGACAGTGCTTCACCGCTGATAAATGTAGTTGTACGCTATTCATGGCAGTTGTTTGTTGTTTTAATTGAATTGCGTTTTGCCCAGACCTTATTAGTTATTTTCTGTGGCTGCCTGCATTGCATCATGCTCCAGGATGTCCCCCTCCAGTAATGCACTTCTATATAAGCCATTTACTTTTCCATGTTAAAATAGCAGGCAGGTGTTATGTGACAGATGACAAAGGAAATACTCATAAAAGTGACTTCCATTTCTGTCAACTTTCTATAAAAAGTTAATCGCCTAGGATAGCTACTGAAGATAATAGAGAATTGTCGGTTATTTTCTGTGTTTCAGCATCGATTAATCCAGCAATTACACTCTGGTTGCTTCCTTCTGTAGAATTTCTTAAATTAAAGCTGAGGCAAAGATCTCCCTCCCTGGTACATTTTATCCTCCCAACAACCCTGCCAGATGGTTGGTTGGCTTCATTCTGTCTCAGGAGACAATGGAAACCCCTGTCAGAACATATATGGGTCTCCATTTCTTGTAGAATATTCCATGCAAAGGTGACAGGAATGGTTTGTTGTACTCTGTAGCATCTTGCAAATTAATTGATTTATTTATTTAATCAATTAATTAGGGGATGCCAGGCAACTAAGGATTTTGCAAAGAAAGATGGCTGCGCAGGCAGGAAGATGGAAAATGAAGAGTCATCTCTAAATGAATCCAAAGGTACTATCTCATGTTATACCTGCCAGTGTACAGGATTTTTTGAATGCCACAAATTAATGGTTTAAGCCAGTGTTTCCCAACCTTTGGTCTCCAGCTGTTTCAGACTACAATTCCCATAATGCCTGACCACTGGTCTTGCTAGCTAGGGATGATGGGAGTTGTAGTCCAAAAACAGCTGGAGACCAAAGGTTGGGAAACACTGGTTTAAGCTCACATTTATGAATTATGTCACCGGTCGCCATGGCCAATCAGATCTGAACCAAATAATTCAGCCTGCAGTTTTAAAACTTGCTTGTATTTTTGTTTGTTTGTTTCCTTTTATTTACAGACAACAAGGAATCCAATAACAGGAGTTCCCATCCTCAGCCAGTTATTTTGACCTCAAAGTTGACAATCCCAGCCTTTCCATTGCGATGGGAACAGCAGAGTAAACTCCTTCCTACTGTGGCTGGAATCCCTGCCAGTAAAGTTTCCAAGTGGAGCACAGATGAGGTGTGTTCCCAGTGCAATTCTTGCTGGACATGAACTGAAACAGACTTCACTTGATCATGTCGTCTTTGTGGCTTATAGCTCTATTTTGTACAGAACACAATATTGTACAGTCATACCTCGGGTTACAGATGCTTCAGGTTGCGTTTTTTCAGGTTACAGACCGCCGAAACCCGGAAGCTTTGCACATGCGCAGAAACGCCGAATCGCAACCCATGCGTGCGCAGACGCGCAGCTGCATGTTGCGAACGCTGTGGGTTGTGAATGTGCATCCCGCATGGATCACGTTCGCAACCCGAGCGTCCACTGTATAGTTTATTGCTTATTTGTTTATTGCTGATTATGTATTTATTTTTAATGTAACGTGGTTCCTTTTAAGTTTAGTAAGCTATTTGAGGGTTTTTTTTTAAGTAGGATAATAGTAAATAATAGGTGAATCCTAAAAAAAACCCTATTCTGATGTAGCATATAATAGATCAATCCTAAAAACTATGCTCATGTAGCTCTGTTACATAAAATAAACCTTTCTGTCTTTATCAGAAAGTGGACTGTATCTAAACTCCTTTAAGAGGAATCATACTTTAAAGACAGCTTGTTTTGCCTTACGGCAAAGGCAGATGGTTCTTATAACCAATGCAGATGGTGACTTTGTGCTTTCCTCCTGATTTTGTTCTTCTGGCTATACTGAGTTCCAATTTATTGTAGAGCTTCATTTTTCTAAAATACTCGCTTAGGGCAGTGTTAGAACAGATCATAGGGAAAAGAAGAAGGGTCGTCTTAAGGGCACAGATGGGAAACCTGCAGCCCTCCAGATATTGTTGGATTCTTTAACTTCCCATCATTGCTCACCACCACCTGATTCTACCCCACCTTCTTCTAAGCTACAGACCTCGATTACATAAACAGAGGCTACATAGGCAAAATTGGAAAGAGTGAAGGCCACCTCCTGTGGTGGGGAGCTTCATTATATTAAAATCAGCTGGAATAAAGACATGTAGTGATTAGATCCAGTTTTTTTGCGAGGAAGCCACTGGGAGCACTCCCCAATCTCTCAGTTATCTTTGGCCATTGTAGCATCTTTTTCTCTTCCTCCATACAAATGAGTGAATGCCATGCTAATGGAGCTCTTGTGTGAGGGTGGGAAAAAGGGGGTCAATGTTTCTAAACCCCAGGGCCATTTTAAAAAAAAAAATTATCCAAGTTTTTCTAATATTTTTCAGAACTGTGTTAATTTCCAAGCTAATGGGGCTGGGGCCTTCAAGGAATGTGCTTGTTGTTAATTGCTAGACAAGATCACAGTATTTTTTTGCACCCTCCTGTGGATAAACATCCATTGATTTTATGTGTTGTTAAAATTCAGGTGTCAGAATTCATACGGAGTTTGCCAGGCTGTGAGGAACATGGCAAGGTGTTCAAAGACGAAGTGAGTATAACAAATCTGTTGTTTCTCTGATCAAGAATTATTATTTAAATGCATAAAGGAGGCCAAATACTGGTTTAGGGCATATTCCTGAAGACGTTATTTGATCCTGGTTTCAACTGAAATCAGATTTGTTTTCTGAGAGCCAGCTAAAGCCATTGTAACACTGGTACCTTGGTTTTCAAACGTAATCTGTTCCGGAAGACCGTTCGAGTTCGGAAATGTTCGAAAACCAAGGTGCAAAGTGTGGTCTGCAAATTTAATAGAGAAAATTGAGAAAAACACAGTGGTACCTCAGTGGAAGCCGTTCGACTTCTGAGGTGTGTTCAAAAACAGAAGCATTTACTTGTGGGTTTACGGTGTTCGAAAACCAAGGTACCACTGTATCTTAAATTATTATTAAAATTTAGAGTTCTTCCTAAATGTCTAAAGTTACTAATAATGGAAATTTTCTCCTTTTTTTTCAAGCAAATTGATGGAGAAGCTTTCCTTCTAATGACCCAAACAGATATAGTAAAAATAATGAGCATTAAGCTAGGACCAGCCCTAAAGATCTTCAACTCAATCCTGATGTTCAAGGCTGCCGATAAGAACTCGCACAATGAACTCTGATGGAAAAGTGACTACAGGGCAGCTCTCTCCATTGCAGCTCATGTTTTATTCAAAGCACAAAGACTCCAAAGGATCATCAAGGAGGAACTCTCCAAGGCGAAAAGTCAGAGTGGATGGAGTGTTGATTTTCTCCAAGAGCCTGAGCAAACTAACACTTCTGGGAAGTGCTTAAGCTTTTTAGTAAGATGCTCTTACAAAAGAGTGGGTACTTAATGTTTACTGGCTGATGGCTCTGATTTTCCCACAACTAGCCATCCTTAATTTTATCGGGGATCCATCAACTAAGTTAACATATTAAAATTATGGAAATATTATCCTTTTCTAAGGAGACACAAAATACACACTTCATGAATTTACTTCTTCACCAATGAATTCCTTTGTATCGTTTCATCATTTTCATAAAAAAAAAATTGTTCGCAGTTTAAAATAAGTGGACTACAGTTAATGAAGACTGTTAACAAGTCATCTTAGTTTCACACAGCAGCTCAAATTTAATACTTTGCTGTGTACAATGAAGCTGATTGATTTATTCTGTTGTATGAAAACATTGCTGGAGACCAATGCTATGTTTTTTTGTTTTTGTTTTTTTGCATGATTAAAGAAGTTTAATGAATATTTCCACCAGCATATTTAGTATTAAGTTATTAAAACAAGAACTAACCAACAAAAGTAAAATTCAGGATTTATATAATTGTTTTATGCTGCATTATAATATCTGGTCCACAAATCTAAGACGAAAGATAGAAATTAAATTCTACAACTAAAATCTCCAATTCCTTGGGGAATTTAAAAATCTATTTGAGCAGGAATAATGCATTACCCTCAGTAATTTAAAGATAGCAAGAGATAGGACAAGAGATAGGGAAAAGCCCAAGCAGACAGTCAAGTAAAATTTATGTTACAGCTAAAAGGATTTTTTCACTTGTAAAAGTCCAGTTGTCTTGTGACTTGCGCTTGCGGCACAAGAGAAAAGAAACACGAAGCAGGGGTGTTATGAATTAGATTGCATTGTTCCAACAAGCCACAATACGTACTCAAGGTTTGTTGTTGGCTTACTGACTGATTTATTGGAGCATAAGAAACCATTGGATGTAATGCTAAGTCAGGGGTCATGGCTCTCTTCTTTTGTGTGCTAGCACACAGACTAGATACAGACTAGAAAGGCCCCTTCGTGATAAACCAGAGTAATAGTTTACTCTGATGTGCAAATGAGACTACTGAGTGTGCTTTAGAAGTGTAGAATTTGGTACTGGAGCCCGTTAATATCTGTTAACAGAGTGTTAATAGAGAGAGAGTATTTCTAACCTCCACGCTTCAACAAGTGAGCAGTGTGGTATTCTCACAAGCTAAGAGAGTGGAAAGAGAAGTTTTGCTATGGTTCAGTCCTCTGGTAACATCTGTAAACAACTAGATGATGGGGTTACTCACATTGCCACATGGCTGGCTAAATTAGTGTGGGAAGTAAGTATGTCATTTTTCACACATGGTATATATTTTCATGTTAGCTAGATAGGCAAGGGATCATCTCACGTTGTACATGCGCTATCGTTCTCTTACTTTTATACTTCCCTTACTTCTATACTATACTTCTATACTTCTAGAAATAAAAGTGGTTCCAATGGCTTGGGCAACATGAACCTCCCATTCTTGCCCCATTATGATTATTTTTAATGGCTCTCCTGAGGAATGTTTCTTTTAAGTCAAGGTAGAACTGCACAATCATCTAGCATGGATGCATTAGATACAGAGTCAACACGTTTAAAATTAAAATGCATTTGTCACAGGACCATAGGTAGTTATTTAAAATCAAGTTGCATTACATTTTTATGAACACTGTTAGGAAATAACAAAGTTATGAAACTAGAGGGACAGGATATTCATGGAAACATTAAAAACAACCCACATCCCATTCAAGTTGGGTGTTAAGAATATGAGTATTTGGCAGAAGATAGTTGCTATAAAAGCAAATGTTCATAAAACATCTACGGTAACTTTTTTTCTTTTTTTTTGAAGGAGCAAGATTATACTAAAAAGTGCACTTAAATCAATCAAAATGGCAAATGATAAAACCAGGAATTACTTGCAAGTGGATTCTGCCCCAAAGCCACATTAAGTAATATTCAGTATTGGTGGTTGTTGTTTAGTCGTTTAGTGGTGTCCGACTCTTCGTGACCCCATGGACCAGAGCATGCCAGGCACGCCAGGCAATATTGGTATATTCAGTACTGGTATATTCACATTTTTCCCAGTTTACTTGATTTTTGCTGAAAGGAACTGCGGACACTTGACTTCAAAGATGAGGGACTCCAAAAAGTGAAGTGTATTGTACAGTCTTTTGGGGTATGGAATGCCAAAGACATGGTAGGAAGCCAGCAGAGCAGCGAGGGCCATTGTACAATCATCCAGCTGGGCCAATTTCTCCTTCTCCACGTATAGGGAACACTCACACACGTTTTCATCAAATGGGTATTTTACTTCTAGTACTGGTGTTGACACTTTCACCTGGTTTTAAAAAATAGAAGTCTACGCATAAAATTCATGGGATTTCTTGTATTAACTAAAAAGAAAGTAACAGGAGGATCATCGTTCTCTCAAAACTGTCTTTTAAACCAGTAATGAGAGTTCACCTTGAACGAAAACAGACAATATAAGATCATTAGTAAATAAGAATTGAAGCTGCTGACCCCAGTTTGGTTCTTACTACCTGGGCTACTTTCCTTCCAGGAAAGCACTCCAATGCCTGACAAAATCAAGACATAAAAGAAAAACCGTTTTGCATGTTATCAACCATTATCAATGGTATCTCCAAATATATTGTTGCAATGTTGCATAAAGACAAACGAGTACATGTGGATTTTTAAAAAAAATTGTTGTCCGGCCTCCCACCATATAATTCGTTATCTACATACCTCCTCATTCACAGCAGCAAGCAAAGAGGAATCCTCTCCAAAAACATCTGGCAAAAGTAAACATGTGGCAGTAATCTTCATATCTATCAAAAGTGAAGAACAATTACAGGGCAGTAGGATTAACAGCCAGAAGAAGCAAGTGTTTTAATAGGCAGTTGTGTTCAAAGCAGAATGCTCTATATTTGGATGTTTTTTCCACTCTTGACAATAATTTATTAGGGTTTCTTCACACACACATTAGTTACCTTTCCAAGAAACATTCAGCATCTCAAGCATGAGTAATTAACCTTCCTTTTTCAGTTAATAAGCCATTTATATTCGATGTAGGATCTGTCCCATAGTGCATTGAAAGCAGACAGCCATTTCTCAGTGCACTTAAGGAAAATGTTTGCTTAGCTTCTATTATACAAAGTATCTTGCCCATTAACTGCTTTAAAACCAGACACAACAGGCTATACCAACATGTCCGAATGTCATCTTCCATGTACTGCTTCAGATTCTTCTGCAGAGCAACAATAACTGGGCTATTCTTCACCACATTCGACGTCAGTATGTCCTCTGAATACGCTTCCAAAATCTCAGCTGTTTTCTTGTAAATGTCTTTGTGTGTTAAAAGATGATATTCTTTAAAAAGCTAAAGGGGGAAAGGAAAGCAATTTAGATAATCCAACTGAGAAAATGTGTTAAATTACAATTTAAAGAGCACACAAGTGGAAGTATGCACTGATGCAGGACCCGATCACGAGCACGCTCTCCTTTGCAGCGTTACTGGGGTTTCAGAATCATAGAAGCATGGCTGCTTCCAACTGTGGAGGCAGAGCAATAGCCATCATGACTAGCGGTCATATTTTTCTTGGATCACAAGATACAGGGTGTGATTTGCTGTCAAAACCTCTGAATAAGTTACAGAAGTGCCTTCTTTGCCACGAACATAGAAATGCCTATGCGCACTCGTGTTCTGTCATGAAATATAAGGTTGTTACTAAGAAAACACCCATTACCTGATAAGGACACTTCAAAAAGGGGAATAGCATGAGAATTTCTTTGAAAGGCTTCCTCTCTTTATTGATCATCTTCCTTCTTATTTCTAAAGTCTTGGTCATCCTGTTGTCCACTTCTACCCAATTTCTCTCAGGTTTCATATATTCTTCCTTAAACCAGCTGATATGTTCATTTATCTCGACATCAAGGTCTTCGTTGTAAATGTTTTTAACCTGTTAAAATTGTCATTAGTTATTTTGTAGAGTGCATTTTTACAAAAGAAAAAAGGAATAGTCTTGGTTAATAATAGTGCAATTTATCAAGAAAAACTAATCCTATACACATATGGGAGTACCTCACATTGAACTCAGTGGGGCTTGCTGCTGAGTAGAGGTGTATAGGTTTGCACTGTTAATGAAGTATTTTATTTGGGCAAACGCTTTACAAGTATAATCTTTCTCAGGGTTCTCATACTTTTTTTAAAAAACAAAACCCTGCATTCTTTACAAAAAAAAAACTCCAACATAATGGAAGTATCTTATTTCCAGCAGTATTTGATGGCAACAACATTTAGACTTATTTCAGAAGATAAAGGCATTCTTTGTAAGCACAATTCTTATCTATAATTATAACTGAGTTTCCCTTCAAAATTAGAACCCATAAGTACATTCCAGTCAAGTAGACACAGTACTCCTTGTTTATCAGTACCTTCCAGACTAAAAACACATTATTTGTGCCAGTTTTCAAGTGTTTTATTATGTATTTAAATTTAAAAATCTGGGGAAAGAAACCTTTCCCAAGCTTCTTATAGTCACCACAATTAAGTAATTCAAATGCTGATCTTCTAAAAGAGTTCTTAATTCTAAGATGGTAAAATAATTATTGTGTTACTAAGTATAATCTCACCAGTAATTTATAGGACACTAAAACTGGCAATTACCAGGCATAGCTGATAATCAGAACTAGCATAATGGTTGGGGCAGGGGGAAGAGTGTGGATACTGTTCCCTTCCCTTCCCCAGACCTAAGCGAGTGGAGAAAGTGAAGCAAAAACAGATAAGCAAAAGCATTATTTATTCAGGGCGACATGTTACCCAAAGGTAAATTCACATCTAGCAGTTTCGCTATAGCCATAATGATATAAATCAGTCTTTAGTAATACCAAGCCTAAGTGGGCACATAGCATGAATGCCTTGGCAAAGTCTACACCTCTTTTGTCCCCAAGCACCACGATTTCCAATCCAAACACTTAGGTTCCAGTTCTTCCCCCAGCTCGGCTGCAATATATTCAGCCAACATTTAGTTTATTTGCATGCACAGAAATGGTGGGTAGGAAATTCTCTGCATACAAAATGGATGTCTTCCATTCTCTGCAAGGTTTAATAAGGTCTAGGAATGTTGACAGAGTTGCAGTCAGAACCTAGTCATATTGCCTTGGATTATATGGGAAAGGAAGTTAGCTTAAGGAAGTGCAGAGAGGAAATGCTACCCATCCTCTCCTCCCTCCTTCAAGCCCCCATCTCACGTTGCAGCAGAAAGGGGCAGACAGGGAATTTTTTTTAAAATTACCTTAAGATCTAAGCTATTATTGACAGGCAAGTCTCACTGAAATCTATGGGACTTTTTAAGCACTGGCGCATTAGACTCCTTAATGGAAATATGGCACTCATATTCTTCAAGAATCAAAATGGTTGGAAAGAAGCCATATAAGGAATGCTCAATTTTTGCACACCTTCCTATTTTCCTCTTTCAGGAGTAGCTGGAAAGAGCAGGCAAAGCTCATATTCATATCCTCTTGCTATTCCATCCACAGAATCTGAATACAGTGGTACCTCGGGTTAAGTACTTAATTCGTTCCGGAGGTCCGTACTTAACCTGAAACTGTTCTTAACCTGAAGCACCACTTTAGCTAATGGGGCATCCCGCTGCTGCCGCGCCACCGGAGCACGATTTCTGTTTTCATCCTGAAGCAAAGTTCTTAACCTGAAGCACTATTTCTGGGTTAGCGGAGTCTGTAACCTGAAGCGTACGTAACCTGAAGCGTATGTAACCCGAGGTACCACTATACTTACTTTTGTTTGCACTCCTTGGACCTTCTCACACCTGGTTTCAGAAGATTTTCTGGTCTGCCCTCGCCTGTGTCCAAACTTGCATTTATTTCTCACTACCTGTTCATCATCATCTATCGGTCTCCGCACATACTTGAAACGGTCTTTAAGGGCTCGTTTCCATAGAAACTGCATGTTTAAAAAAGTTGTTAGTGTCTTCCAGGAGCCTTATCTATTCTTTCAGCGCAAGTTATCTACTGTTCCTAAATTGCTAAAAGAAAAAGAACCTTTAGAATATCATTTCCAGCAGATTTTTTTTAAAGAAAATGCAACTACTGTATACTTTGCAGAAGCTAATTGCATCCCATCCCTATTGAGGAAACAGAGTAACTAGCTTTGAAAGGCAGAAGGCAATAGCTTTGCTTAAAAGTAGTTTGACAAATGATAACATTGTAAATGCAAGACAATGGCTGTCTGCTTTTAACAGCGTAGCAAACAGCATAGTTGGTAAGTCAAAACGCAGGGGTGTTGTTTTCACACATCCACGTAATCGCTTGAAGTTTCAGTCACTGAGAAACAAACAGGCGTATGTGAACTTACTGTACATTAAAATTCTGTTTAAGAACACTGTTCTACGTGTTCTGGCTGAGTAACAGAATATTAATCGAAAATCAGAGTGTAAACCAACTTATTGATAACCCACCGTTTCTCATATAGCTCTCAGCATCTTAGTGTCATGGGATAATAATATAAGAATAGCGCCTGCTGTTTCAGGCCACAGGTCCATCTAATTCAACCACCACACAGTGGCCAACCAGACTTGTTTGTTGTTTGTTTGTTTGTTTCTTATTTCATAACATTTATATACTGCTTGATTGTAAAGAAAGCAAAACAAAACCTGAAAGTGGTTTACAAAAAGATGCCGATGAGAATCCTACAAATGAGATATGTTGGCAACAGTGTTCCACTCCCTCTTGTGAACTGGTAGTCAGTAGGAAACGGTTTCTGACTGTGATGGCAGCACATAGCCATTGTGGCTTGCAGCCATTGATAGCTTTATCCTTCATAATATATGGAGGATACTATCCAGACTGACATTTCCTAGTTGCTATGAGATTATCACCTTAGCCCAGTCGACCTATGAAGTAATAAGCATCCAAAAACTGAATTCAAAGGAATGGAAATGCCTGCAAGAGTACGATAAAGGTCAAAACAGAAAGCCACAGGTGTCCACTTGCCAAGACCAACATTTCATAAGTTTGAAAATATCATGCACTCCTGTCTCAGTGTTGTTCTTTATATTTAACTCTCACAAACCCTCTTCAGTTGTTCAGTATCAGTGAAGAGACATTTCAGAACCCACCAGCTAGCTCTGGCTCCTTAACCCATCCAACTCATGTCAAGTGGCACTCTGAAAGGGGCCTGTACTTGTAAGACCACTCCCCTTCCCCAGAGGGTGGAGTTGTGGGCGGGTATCTGGGACCTCACTGGGACCTGGCAGGGGGCCGAGTGATGCCACCCGCATCATCGGGACTCTCAGCTGCATCACGCCCCCCAGCTGACCAATCTGGTTAGCCGGGGTGTGTGGATGCTGTGGTTTAAATTGTGACGTGGCTGGTGGATGGCCTCCTTTTGCCTCCTCTGTCGAATCACCCAGCCCACCCGCCCTCTTTTTATATGTTGCTTGACTTTGGCTTTACTATGGACTAATGTTGGTTGCCTTATTCTTGGGGCCAGGTAGGAATTTTTTCCACTTGGCAAATTGGTACAAGCCATTTGGTTTTCGTCTATCTTGTAGCAATCGTGACAACTTTGTAAGGTTAGGCGGTTAGCCATTGAGTAAGCCTGGTTCATGGGACGGAAGGTTGTTGCCTCTGCCTGCCCCTCCAAGTTAAGGGTATCCTGTTAAAGGGATCCGGGTGTGTGTGGATCCTGTCCAAAGGCTGGGCATGGGTTAGGGCCATGCCACAACCCCACCGGGGACCTTGGGGGTGCTCTTAATTGATGTATAACATAGGGCATCCCCTATCAGTGGTTGACCCTTAAAAGACTTCCTGCAGGCATGCAGGAGTCATGATATAGTCGGTTTCACCCAATACCGCTCACATCTGTAACCAATAAAGTTGTGGCCTTATTTATCCCATTAACTCAACATATTTGTGTCTGTGTGTTTATTATCCAAGGGGAACTTTGGGCCCTGGGGCCTTGCAACACAAGGTTTCTTCTGTGGAGACAGGAACCTTGGTAAGCTTATACAAATCACACCTTTGGACCACGACCTGGGGATAGATAGTATTCTCCTAAGGAACACAACACTCATCTATGAAGTCTTTGCTAACATACTGAGGACAACACACAGCAAATCTCCAGAAAGCCCTGCATGGAGTGTAAGATCAACCTCTGTGGAATGAAGTATTGAAGGCTCCACAGTGTCCAGCAGCATCCCTTAAGCACCACTCTCTCAAATAAGACTATAACCACTGGAAAGCCCAGTCCCAATTCAAACAGCTGCTCCAGCAGGATACTAATGGTGGAGGGTATAGAAAGCTGCTGAGAGATCAAGGAGAATCCACAGCATCCCATTACCCTTGTCTGTCTCCAGGCAGAAGTCATCATACCTGGCAAACAGGGCTGTTTCCCTGACATAAGCAGGCCTAAACCCCAATAGAAATGTATATAATCAAAGAAAAGCAACTGCATGTTTAATTCAAGAAAAACAACAGTACAGAATTGCATTTGTTTGGGTACTTACAAAGCCATTCCCATCCTCATCAAGAAAAGGGTATGCCTGGAGCAATTCATTGACAACATCATTATATTGCTGAGTGGTTGGATATCTGCCCACGCAATATAAAATGCATACAAATATTATTATTTAAAGTGCCCTGCTGCTTCAACTGGAAAATCTTCAGCTCCTTTTACATTAATGCCTGCCTCTATCATACAAAATAAAAAGTACACTCTTGGCAATCTCTACTCACACACTGGCCCAGTCATTCCTATCACTGCTGCCACCATATCAGGCTGCAAAACCCTGTGCTGAGGGTGCCTAACATGGAAGGAGATTTGATTTCTTTTTTAGCACCATGGAAGCACTTGTGCAGTGGATATCTGTGGTTGGGCTCCTACATCTGTGTGTGAGATGTTGCACGTCTGCATTGAGGTGGCGGGCACTCACAATCCTGAGGGCGAGATTGCACCCCTGCACGTAAGTGAGACATTCCTGCTTCTTTACCAAGCTACCTGTGGTTTGGTGACAAGCACTCAGAGATGACAGCTCGGAAGACAGTTCATTGGTCCAAACAAGACCATGGACCACTGTCTGCAGGGTTTATTAAGTGACTAGGTAGCAAGAGAGTAGAAGTAACTGGGCTCTGGCTACCCTCCAGGCCTCCCAACACTCATACAAGTTATGGGCAGCCACAAATATATTCATTCTGCCTTTCTACCTACGCACTCTTCAAATCAAAGTTCACAGCATGCAGAGCTCAATTTATCATCCTTATGGAAATTCACCCCATGCCATATTGCTCCCATGAGGCAGAATGCTGAAGACTGCCTTACTTACAGTGATCCTTCAAGATACTTTGTCATGTCAGCTTGTAAGAATTCAATTATCCTTATTCTCACACTGTGGTCAGGGCATTTTCTTTCTGCTAATATGCATTTGACATCATAAGGGAACTCAGGCAGAATATATGAATTTGTCCATTGCAATGCTTTGCATCTTGCTAAAACATGCCTCATGTTTTTCCTGACAAAGGAAGCAAAAATGACCATTCATTAGCACTTTAAATTCTCACATACTTCATTGTGCTAGCTCCTTCAATTGATTTATTATCAGTGAAAGACAAGCCATCCTCTTGTTATAATATATTTACTATGCTTTACACTCCAGGAACATGGGCTACCCCTAGTGTTATTTCCACATAATCTTTTTTAATGCATTACAAATTATGATATGATCCAAATTATATTTTTCTTTACATTATTTTTTAGAAAACGTGCTTTAGTTTATTTTGTTTTAGAACCCCCAGTCCATCCTTATCTCTCCCTGTCTCTCCTCCCCTCCCCACAGTAGTTATCTGCATCCAAATAATTTGTTCCTCCGAGAATCATACCATCTGTCAGGGGTTCAGGAGCAGAGGCACAGGAAAGGGAGGAAATAGAGAGCGAGGGGGAGGAGTCCGAAGGAAATGTTAGCGATGACAGCGGTCCGAGGTCTCTGAGTCTTTCCAGCGAATCGGAAGATTCACAGAAAGGGGCTCCCTTGGTCAGAGCAAGGGGGTGCCGAGGGGACACCCCAGGAAGAAGGGGCCAGAGGGGACTCAGAGAGCAGCAGTTGGAAATCAGGACCAGCGTCCACACCAGAGTGCAGTAGGGGGGGAGGAGTCCCAGGCATCGGGATCAGGCGGCGCACTGCCAGTGGGAGGACATGAGTCAGGATTGGCCACGCCTCCATCGGGGAGCGAGGAAACGGTCGAGAGGAAGGTTGAAGGCTGGGCGCGCGCGCCAAGTTCAAATGTACAGGAGGGCGGCGCAGTTGGCAGCCCGGATAGGGAGCCAGGTCCCAAAGCCCGCCGAAAAGCGGGGGGGGAGTCAGCGGGGTCAGCGTCAGAAGAATCCAGGAAGGAAGGGACCCCGGGGGGTAGCAGGACCCAGAGGAGAAAGGAGAGACGTAAGAGGTGGAGTAAGGCTAGAATCTTAAACTGGTGTACAGGGGGCGGAGACTCAGATGGAGCTTCGCCGATCTAACCCCTAGACGTAGAGCTGGGGCGCTCCGGCTTGAAAATGGAAACTGTACTTCAATAAAGACTTTTGTACATTACTGCCGGCTAGCGTTGGTCCTCTGTGAGCTGGGACCTGGAGCCAGCTCTGACAGTAAGCTCCATCTCAAAAGTTTTGCACCAAAAACCTCGTAACGTGAGTGGACGCAGCGAGGAAAGAAGATTGGTGCTTCGCGAGCTCACAAAAGTCAGGCAAGATGACTACAGAACAGCAACTAGCAGCCCTGCAAAATGCAGTGACACAACTCAACGCGGAGGTACTCGCATCCAGGAAAAGGGAAGAGGAAGCGGCTGCCGCCTGCAGGGATCTCCAAGCCAGGTTGGAAGTGCTTGCTAAGCAGGGGCAACCGGGACCCAAATCAGAGGGGATTGGGCTGGGGAAAAGAGGAGGCAGCCTGGTATCTCATTTCGATGGGAATTTGCAGCAGTACCCTAACTTCCGAGCAGACGTGCTGTTTGCGCTGGAACTGCTGGATAAAGACTTTAGAGATGAGCAAGAGAAGGTGGGGTTTATCTTGTCCCATTTGCATGGGGAAGCTAAAGCGTGGCTGCGCAATCTGTGGAGAGATAAGGATCCGGCGCTCCAAAATGCGGATGCATTCATTAAAGCGATGGATTCGTGTTTATTATCAACTATAGACATTGATATCGCCAGAAAAGACATACCTGGGCTCAAACAAGGCAGAGCCAGTGTAAGGCAGTACCATTCCCGCTATTTTGAATTAGTCCATGCGCTGGTATGGGTGACGGTGTAGGCCCCAGCCAGAGACCTTTTTTGGGAAGGCTTGAATGCAAATGTGAAAGGTGAGATTGCAAGGGGGGAGAGACCAAAGAGCACTCAGGAGGTTGTCCGGCGGGCGCTGCAAATTGGGGTGCGTCTGGAAGAACGTCCATGGAATAGAGAAGAAGGACGTTGGGGACGTACGCCAGTGAGAGCACCTCCCCTCTTTCCCAAGGATGCAGCGCGTGTGCAATCCCCACCTCCGCAAGGAGGGGAGAGCAACCGATGGAGATTGGAGGCGCCAGGGCTCAGTCAGCAACCAGAGCCTTAACACCGGGAGCAGTCAAAGCGAAGCCTCCTAGAGGGAACAGGAAGTGCTACATCTGCGACAGTGCTCAGCACATGGCGAAAGAGTGTCCCCAGAGGCTCCACAAGCACACTGCAGCCTCAGCAACAGTAACAGAAGCAACTCAGCAGAGAGAACCACAGCAGGGAAACGACAGAGTCTGGTTGGAGGAAGAGGCACTGGGGCCCAACCAGACAAGTCAATGAAGCCGTCCCCAGAGATTTTGCAGCCCACAGACCCTCCCGCCCAAACCAGTGGTGCAGCTCACAGCATCGCTCCAACTACCCAATGGACTCACTATGGAAGTGCCGATTACCATTGACTCTGGTAGTAACGCAGACTTCATAGGACTGGATTTCCTTCAAGAGCACAACATAGCACTCCTGCCAGCCACGCTGCCTCTGAAGGTTGTCACGGTGGATGGCAGGGAATTGCTGGGGGGGCAGGTGGTGCAGCAAACGCCTCCGATGGTGATGCAAATTGGAAATCACCGAGAAGTCATCAGCTTCAATGTCACCCAACTGTCGGACACGCCTATAGTATTAGGCATGAGTTGGCTGCACAGGCACAGCCCAGCATTGGCGTGGTACCAGCGACAACTGACCTTCGGCTCCTCATACTGTGCGGAACATTGCATTCTGCCTAGCCCGGAAGGGGAAGAGGATGATCCGCAGCTACAATTAGGCACGCTGCAAGCAGTGCCACTCAAGTACGCAGCGTTTTTGGAGGTTTTCTGCGAGAAGGAAGCGGACAAGCTACCTCCCCACAGGTCTTATGACTGCAAGATTGACCTCCTGCCAGGGGCGACGCTGCCAACCGGGAAACTGTATTCCATGTCTGAAGACGAGCTGCAGGAACTCAGGGAGTTCGTAGACCTCAACTTGAAGCGCGGTTTCATCCGGGAGTCGAAGGCAGTGGGGGGCAGTCCTGTATTCTTTGTGAAGAAGAAGGACACGCCCCAAAAAGGCTTGTGGTGGACTATAGAATTTTGAACTCAAAACCAAGCCCACAGCTTTTCCCATGCCCAAGATAGATGACCTGCTCGCAACGGTGAGGAAAGGACGCGTTTTCACAAAGTTGGATCTGCGAGGGCGTACAACCTGATTCGCATACGGGAGGGCGACGAATGGAAGACTGCCATGTTCACGCCCCTGGGCACCTATGAATACAGAGTTATGCCCTTTGGATTACAAAATGGCTCCCACTGTTTTCAAGCCTTCATGCATCACGTATTGGCGGGTCTCCTCTACAAGAAATGCGTCTGCTTCCTGGACGACATCCTGATATTTTCAGAATCAGAGGAGACCCACGAGGGAGACGTCAAGGAAGTTCTGCAGAGACTGCAGGAGCACAGGCTGTACGCCAAGCTGGAGAAGTGCCAGTTCGACATGAAGGAGGTAGATTTCCTGGGCTACAAGTTGTCGGACAAGGGGCTCGCCATGGACAGCGCCAAGGTTCGCTCAGTGTTGGACTGGAAGAGCCCGCGCAATCGGAAGGAGGTCCAGCGGTTTGTCGGTTTCGCCAACTTTTACCGCAAGTTCATCAAGGGGTTCGCGATGCAGACGGCGGCCATTACCGACACGCTCAGCTCCAAGAAGAAGAAGTTCATCTGGACGGAGCAAGCGGAGCAGTCCTTTCAGAAACTCAAGCGTCTCTTCTCGTCCGAAGAGCAGCTACTGCATGTGAATCCCAGCAGACCGATGAGGGTTGAAACGGACGCCTCAGACAGAGCCGTGGGAGCAGTACTGTTGCAGCAAGACCCGCATGGGGACTGGAGACCGTGTGCCTTCTACTCCAGGAAGCTCAGCAAGTCAGAGCAGAACTACACCATCTGGGACAGGGAGTTGCTGGCCATTCATGCAGCATTCAAGGCGTGGCGGCACTTCCTCATTGGAGCCAAACACACAGTGCAGGTCCGCACGGACCATAAAAACCTGGAGTACTGGCGCACGGCAAGGTTCCTGAACCAGAGGCACATACGATGGGCGGAGTTCTTTGCGGATTTCGACTTCAGGATAGAGTACATCCCAGGCGACAACAACATCATGGCGGATGCACTGTCCAGAAAGCCGCAATACCTCGAGGAGGCGGCACCAGCAGCGGCCAAGCACATTTTCGCACCGAAAGCGTGGGCGTGCGCTTCAGCAACCGTGGACCTGGATGCTGTACGTCGAGCACTGCAGGAGGACCCCTTCGCGCAAGCAAAGATGGCAGAGGTGCAAAGGGGCACGGCGGAGGACGACGAGTTCCAGATACGCGACGGATTGCTCATCCGCAGAGGGGCCCTCTACGTACCGGGAGACGACCTCCGCGCGAAAGTACTGCAGCAGTTGCACGACGCACCCACCGCCGGGCACTTTGGCAAAGAGAAGACGGTAGAATTAGTAGCCAGAGATTTTTGGTGGCCCAAGATGCGGGGAAGTCGCGGATTACGTCTCGAGGTGCGACACCTGCCAAAGGGCCAAGTCAGTGCACAAACCGCCGGCGGGACTGCTCGAACCCCTGCAGACACCGCTCGAACCGTGGGAGAGGGTGGCCCTGGACTTTGTCACGGATCTACCCAGCTCGAGGGGCAAGACGGCAGTGCTAGTGGTGGTGGACATGTTCACCAAAATGGCCCACTTCATTCCGTGCGCGAAGGTGGCCACGGCGGAACAGACCGCCAAACTGTTCATAGACCACGTGTTCAGAGTTCACGGTCTGCCACGGTCTATCCTGTCCGACCGGGGCGACAGTTTATCTCGAACTTCTGGCAGAAGCTGATGGGTTTCCTGAACGTCAAGATCAACCTAGCGTCGGCGAGACACCCGCAGACGAACGGACAAGCGGAGCGAGTCAACGCCATCATGCAGCAGTACCTGCGATGCTACGCAAATCAGCAGCCGGCAACATGGGTGGACTACCTGCCGCTCGCTGAGTTCGCCTACAACAACACGAAGCACGTGTCCACGGGGGTGACACCGTTCTTCGCCAACAACGGGAGGCATCCCAGAACCTTCCCGGGATTAGCGAGAGCGGGGGGGGGGAGCCACAGGCAGCGGAAGCCTTAGCATCAGAGTTGCAGGAGGTTCACGAACAGCTTAGGAGGCAGTTAGAACTAGCAAAGCACGCATACAAACTGCAGGCTGACAGGCACAGGAGGGTTGGGGAAGACATACAGGTGGGAGACTGGGTTTGGTTAGCAGCCCAGGCAGTGCCGGCCAGATCGTTAGCGAAGAAGAAGCTAGGGCATAAGCAGCTAGGACCCTACCAAGTCGAGGCACAGGTCAATCCAGTGGCTTTCCGGTTGACACTGCCGGAGGGATCCAGAATGCACCCAGTTTTCCATAGATCAGTGCTCACGCCCTACAAAGCACCTCATAGATTTCAGGAACCAGGAACGGCACCAGACCCGTTCAGGGAAACGCCCACAAGGGGGGGGTCGCCAAGGCGGGAACCCGTCAACGAAGTCACAGAGATTTTAGACTCGAGATGGGGGGAGGGAGTGGAATACCTCCTCGCCAAGGAAGGTACCCCGGCTAGCGCCAACAGTTGGGTGCCAGATTATGCTCTGGAGGAATCTTGGCTCAAGGACGAGTTCCATGCACTTTTCCCACACAGGCCCATGCCAGCCGAGTATTTCGACGACTGGCTTTTCACACCCACATTTTCAGCTAGCACATTCCAGGGGTTCACCTCGGACGAGGAACCGGCACTAGAAGCACGTTCCCCGAGGGATCACCCTCGGGGTCTGCCTCAGACCGTTCCTATTGGTGGGACACTCAACCAGAGGAGCAGTGGCGCAGGAAGTGGTTGGGGGGTCCTTGGCAGGCAACGTCCCCGGAGGAGACCGGCGCAGATACGGACATGGACGGGTTGGGTCAGGACCTTGGGTTCGAGCACGGCGGCAAAGAGATGGAAGCAGAGGAAATTGAGGTCGGCGAGAGCACGGAGGACGAGCCGGACTTATCCGGCTGGATGCATGCCACGGGGGACGAACTGTATCCGGCACTCACCCCCACAACGACGGAGCACCCAGTACCCACACCTGAAGGAGGGGAGGGGGGAAGGGGGGGCTTCGAGGGGGGGGATGGATGTCAGGGGTTCAGGAGCAGAGGCACAGGAAAGGGAGGACAGAGAGAGCGAGGGGGAGGAGTCCGAAGGAAATGTTAGCGATGACAGCGGTCCGAGGTCTCTGAGTCTTTCCAGCGAATCGGAAGATTCACAGAAAGGGGCTCCCTTGGTCAGAGCAAGGGGGTGCCGAGGGGGACACCCCAGGAAGAAGGGGCCAGAGGGGACTCAGAGAGCAGCAGTTGGAAATCAGGACCAGCGTCCACACCAGAGTGCAGTAGGGGGGAGGAGTCCCAGGCATCGGGATCAGGCGGCGCACTGCCAGTGGGAGGACATGAGTCAGGATTGGCCACGCCTCCATCGGGGAGCGAGGAAACGGTCGAGAGGAAGGTTGAAGGCTGGGCGCGCGCGCCAAGTTCAAATGTACAGGAGGGCGGCGCAGTTGGCAGCCCGGATAGGGAGCCAGGTCCCAAAGCCCGCCGAAAAGAGGGGGAGGAGTCAGCGGGGTCAGCGTCAGAAGAATCCAGGAAGGAAGGGTGGGGGTAGCAGGACCCAGAGGAGAAAGGAGAGACGTAAGAGGTGGAGTAAGGCTAGAATCTTAAACTGGTGTACAGGGGCGGAGACTCAGATGGAGCTTCGCCGATCTAACCCCTAGACGTAGAGCTGGGGCGCTCCGGCTTGAAAATGGAAACTGTACTTCAATAAAGACTTTTGTACATTACTGCCGGCTAGCGTTGGTCCTCTGTGAGCTGGGACCTGGAGCCAGCTCTGACACCATCTTTGTGTAAGACTTAAAAAAACTAATGCAAGCATATGATATTGTAATCCTTTGTTATTGTCAATATATCTTCGTAGTTTAGGAAGTTCTATATGAAGATAGCTGTATCTTTGGAATTAGAAGGATAACCAAAAACTCACTTTTGTTTGAGAACTCTTTGGTCAATGGATCCATCATCACGGCTTTCATTAGGAGAGAAACAATTCGCCTGTCCAACAGTTAGCTGAATGCCATGGGTTCTATAAGGAAGGAAACATGTTGCCCAGTTGATTATGACCCACAACAGATAGCAATTCCCTTCTTGATCCAAGTATAAGGGTCTACTTTTTAAATCCCTTAAATCTCCTTTTAACTCTTCTCTTTATATTCCTGCCTGAATGAGGGCTATGTGGAATTTGGAAGGATGGATGGCCAGGCTGCGTTCAGCCAGTCCCCCAAACAATTTTGTCTGGCCCCTGTGACTCTGCCATATTTTAATCACAGTCTGGTACAAAGCCTGCCTACTAATTCACTTGCAAGAAAAATAAACAAATATGATCAAGTTGTGAAAAAGAGAGATCCACAGTGGATTTTATATATTGTTTATTGCTGTGTACACACCATCTTTTTAAATAACCTCCCTCCCCCTCAAATAATTATGGACACTGTAGTTTGCTGAAGGTTGCTGGGAATCGTAACTTTGTGAGGGGCAAACTACAGTGCGCAGAATTATTTGAGGGGGGAAATGTGCTTTAAAGGTGTAGTGTGTATTCAGCCCATATGTCAGTTGGAAAAATATATATCTGGCCCTTGGAGAACCTACAGACATATAAGTTGGTCATCTCAACTTATGTCAACTGGATGCTACTCTGCTTTAGTGGATGTAGTTCAAGAGAACTGGGAGACTTGTCCCTTTCTTCCTTTGAGAACAAAATGGTGAATATCATTTTCCTTACAAGTTAAGCTATTATAGCCTTGTGGTTCTCCACCTTTAGCAAATATATTGTTGTAGCTTTCTGATCTGATTTTGGTGACTAGGGTTATCATTTTGGGTGCTCCTGAGCTCATATCTGATCCTGAATCTCCTTTCAAGCGCCCCCTTTATATTCTCTAAAGCATGGGTGACATTGGAAGGAGCACTGGTAGACCATGAGGTTCTGGGGTCATGCCTCCATAGAAGCTAAAAATACTGGGCAATGGTCAGAAGAGGTGACTCATTTGGATTCTCCCACCATGAGGAGGGAGGGGCAAGGTGTTTGTGTGTTAAAAATAATAAGGGTTTTAGCTTGGGTCAGAGTCCAAAAGGCACAGAAATACTGAGATTTTGGACTCCATAAACTAGCACCATTTTAGAGGGGTGGTTATCTCTCTGAAGATCTGGTGTGGGGGCTGTCATTTGGAGTGTTTAAGCTGTGCCACCACCTCTGTTTAACCTGTTTATTTGTAAATAAAATGCAACTATGACAAAATGCCAATAATCCTCGGTTTACCTTGTTGGAAAGAAAATAAAGCTTGGTTACACACTGTGCCCCTGGCAGTTCTCACTGCCAGAGCAAAATGGGGAAGTGTAACATTATTATTCCTGATCTATAGATAAAAGTTGAACTATAGATTAAGGATAAACCTTTACAAGTGGAAAGATTTGCTCGTTCTGCCTCTGGGTGCAATTTTCAAGGAGGCTTGAAAGCCCAAGCACCTTTCTTTTTAGAAACGAGGCACAAAACTAGTTTGAGCTGAATATTACGACAGTGCCTTAGAAAAACAGGACAGACTGTTATTTTTCCATATTCAGGGGTAACAAGCAATAAACATTCATTGCCATATTCTGCTGAGCTTCCAAATTCACATTACTGTAGTAGCAAAATTCAGTGACTGTAAAAATTAATGAGCATTAGCATTAAAACAGAGAACCACTCTGACTGGAATATAAGTGGGATGCTTTTGTTTCTTCCTTTATTTTTCTTTGCAGAGCCTTACCGACTGAATTCTCCTGGTGACTCAGAGAAGGGCTCTTTGCAGGTAAAAACTGGTCCTTCTGTCTGCTGCTTGCATTTTTTAATCAGATCCATTAACACTGCCTGGTGCCCAATTTTCTTGACCAGCTGCTGGACCATCCTGTCGTTAAGAGCCAACAGAGCAGCGCCACCCACTTCTTCCTCTAAAAGAAGAGCCAAAGAATCATTACACATGGATTGCCTCTGGCTGCAAGCAGGCAGATGTTTCAAAGGCAATTGGTCATACCGAAAGAATAACAGTCTTTCTTTTTTTGCACATTGGAAGGAAAAGTTCTATATAAACTGTAACAAGCAATCAATCTATATTGCACACTATCCATTTTCAATTGAGTTTGAGTACAGATGTTCTTAGGCACAATATTAGCTTTGTGGGTTTAGCTTTGTGCTGGGTGCTGAATTGCTACAGAAGGAGGCACTGAGGCAGGAGTCCGGCTGAAGTCTTCTATCCTAAGAACTTTTCTCCCTACCTTCAGCCCCAGCCAATAGGTTGTGGTTGCCTAATGGGGGTTAAAAGGTACTCTCCACATCCACTGTGCTGTTTTGATTGCTTCAAAATGTTCTGAGGATAAGCATGTTTATTTTAGTGCTGAGACCTGGTGCATATTTAGTTCTGTGCTTATCTCACAATCCTGATCTGGAAATTAATGAAAGCTTTTCCCTGGTTAAAAACTTACAAACTGCATTGCTATATTATTATGTAACTAGGAAGCAAACACTATCAAAACAATTAATTTCACATAGAAACATGCTACCAGAATGCACATAAAGCTTTTAAGGATTTAGTATCCAACAATTTATTCTGCATTTCTCCCCCACTCCCTGCAACAAATACTTAGAAACATCAATGGAAACCTCATTTGATTTAATAAATCTCTGTAAATTACACAGATATTTGACACATACAGTGATACACAGAGAACAGTCTTACCACGAAATTTAGGAACCAGGTCTCCTAAGTTTTTCAGTAGCAACCAGTTGCAGACTTGATCAACTGACCAACTTTCCATCTCCATTTGTTGTGATGGGAAATTCCACTACTGTACAGAGAAAAACAAGAACAAGAAGATGATTCTATTTTAAATCTTTGAGTCAATGTTCAGTTCTCCCCTACCCCCAAAACCTGCTATTTTGCAAGATAGGTACACATAGTTCCAGGCTGATAATAATTTGTTCCCATATTTTGCACACTATATATTCATGCCTGGTGTAAGGAGGCAGTTTTATGATTCCTGTTACACCTGGTCTTAGAATCCCAGTCTTGCTTTCCTCTGTTCCGAACAAGCAGCTTCATTCTTTATAATACTGAACACACCCTCATCCCACACCATTAACACCCAAGTTTCCACACAGATACGAGAAAGGTGTGAAATTCACCACCACTATGCTCATCAGGAAATGGCTGACATTTTTTTACAGAAAGCTGGGATGGGGGAGAAAACTACATATTAGCCTCTCGCATACACATTTAGAGCAAACTGAATGCATTAACCCACACTGCTCCATTGAGAAACTAGTCAAGTGAACACGTACACCAATGGGAGCAATATGAACAAAGGCAGAAAATGCACAGAATCGCAAGCCAGTTTTGTGAAGTCACCTTCACTAACACCTTATAATTCAAGCTATTTCTAGGAAACGCAAGAAACTGATGTGTTTGCAGGTAGATTTTCAAAGGGTCTGGTCCGACTGAGCAGTAGAAGAAGAAGACGAGGAGGAGGAGGAGGAGGAGGAGGAGGAGGAGGAGGAGGAGGAGTTTGTATTTGATATCCCGCTTTATCACTACCCGAAGGAGTCTCAAAGCGGCTAACATTCTCCTTTCCCTTCCTCCCCCACAACAAACACTCTGTGAGGTGACTGGGGCTGAGAGACTTCAGAGAAGTGTGACTGGCCCAAGGTCACCCAGCAGCTGCATGTGGAGGAGTGGAGACGAGAACCCGGTTCCCCAGATTATGAGTCCACCGCTCTTAACCACTACACCACACTGGCTCTATCATGACATTCTCTGTCCTTGAGGCATAGGAGCCAAGGTCCCTTTGCCCCCCAATAAAATACTTGAGGAGGCTGCCCCACCCCAATATTGATGGGCCTTGCCATTCAAATGGTGTGTGTGTGTGCGCTGTGTCTTGTGATTGATGATGTGGAGCAGGGCTTACCTGCCCCCCTAAATATTTTATTCAAGTTGGCACCCCTGCCTTGAGGTCGCACAGGGATCCACATTTCAGTGCTTTTGTGGAGAGGGTGAACTAACCTGGCCCTAAGGGGTTCTCTTCCTTCTTCCCTTCCAGTTTCCTGAGGTCTCTCTGAATGGAAATGCCCACTTCCTTTCATGAGACAGGTTTTTGAAAGTTCTGTGTTTAGCACAGATTTAAAATCCTTGAATCAAGCAGTAGCAATACCATGATTCAGACTTATCTGTCAAATACAATTAACCCAGAACCATGGATTCAGAAGAGGAATGTGGAATTCATCTAAGCCAGTCCCTGTTCCATCTTTTCTGTGGCAGCCCATTAGATATTTGGAGGCAGCATTCATGTCTCCCATTGATTTTCTCTTTGCTGGGCTAGCCATATGCTTTCAGCCATTTCATATGATTTTCAAACCCATCACCATAAGAAAAGGGCCATGGCTCAGTGGTATAGCAGAAGGCCCCAGGTTCAATCCCTGGTTAGGAAAGACTCCTGTGTGAAAGATGGAGAGCCACTGCCAGCTGGAGAACATCAGGCACAGGGTCAAAAGCACCTCCAGGCTTATCTCTCTGGCTCTCAGGACTATCCCAGGCTATGTAAAACACCTGGATTTTGCATGGCTAGAAGGTAGACCACAGTACAAAGGTAAGAGTCACATCCATTGCCACACCCATGTTTGCCTCTAGTGCTGGAAGTTTGTTTATGAGGAATTGCAGCTCTTGGGCTAAAAAAGATCCCCTATTCCTGGAGTAGACAATACTGACCTCTAACTTAGTACAATATGGTACTAAGGAGCTTTCTAAGTTCCTGGTTGTTCTCCTCTAAGCTCTCCAGCAAGGCAACAAAATGGAGAAGAAAAATGGAGAGGCGGTGATGGAGAGGAAAAGCATTATTGGGTTTCCCCGCTGCTTTTCCTCTCCTCCCTCCACCACTGTTTTCCTTCTCCATTTCAACCCCCTTGCTTTTACCACAGCATTTTGCCTTCCCATTCCCTGACCTCTTCCTGTCCCTTCCTTTTTGCACCTCTATCAAACCACAACCCCACAGAGCCCTGTTCAAGTACCAGGCTGCATACGCAGCTGCCTCCTAATGGGCAGAATCCCGGCTTTGCAAGAGAGTAGCTTCAGTCTCCAGCTAAGTAGGCCTTGGTGCAGAGGTGAGAGAGGTCGGTCTAATATGGAATGGAAAGAGGGGGCATTTGGGATGGGGGGGCAGGACAGGGAGGTGAGATTAGTATTCTTCCACCATGACTATCTCTCCTCTCCATCCAAAGACACGTTACAGTCAGTCAAAAACAAACAAGGATGGTGCAAAGCAGAACTGGAGATGGGGTGGCCTGAGCCCTGACAGAGAGGCCTGAAGAACTGCATTTTGTCCCTGAGCTGGATATTCCCTTTCCATGCTCTAACCCAGCACCTTTAACAAACTACAATTCCCAAGTTTCTCAAGGGGCACACCATTTTCTGGTTCAAAGTGTCTTAAGCGGGCCCTGAATCCACCTTTACAATCATCATGGGTTTAATTTTAACTAATATCTATTCATAGCAATATGCTGTTATAATAATACTACAGTGGTACCTCTGGTTACGTACTTAATTCATTCCAGAGGTCTGTTCTTAACCTGAAACTGTTCTTAACTTGAAGCACCACTTTAGCTAATGGGGCCTCCTGCTGCTGCCACTGCACGATTTCTGTTCTCATCCTGAAGCAAAGTTCTTAACCCGAGGTACTATTTCTGGGTTAGCGGAGTCTGTAACCTGAAGCGTATGTAACCCGAGGTACCACTGTATTCATAAATGAATTCCAAGGCTTACATTTTCTTTTCTTTCTTAAACTCCTCTTCCACCAACCCAAAACTCTGCTTATTTTAAACCATGAAGTGGATGCTTCCAATCTTCACATCACAGGATGCTAAAGCTCACAAGTTTGAGGCCCACCCCAGAATCACTCATGTAGTGCAACATTATGGTTAACATTACATCCAAACCTTCTCAGTGTGGCTATAGGTGAGCTTGGTGCATCAAAATAAAACAGAGTGTAGGCATCCTGTTGTGAAGAGGGTACGGCAGCCTTTTCTAATCTGATTACTTCTTATATCCTTTAAAAAGAAGAATAAATAATGCAACACAAAGTTGCAAAAACATTTTGCATTCTGAATAGAAAGCATAACTGAGCTGGTTCCTATCCCCAAATTCTTATCTAGTATAAAGCTTATTTTCTCTGCATTTTGCCCTCTGGCATTTTTCCTAGTTCTCCTATAGCATAATACATTTAAAATTATTTCAAGAATTATAGCAGTTGGCTTCATTTAGTAGCCATGGAGCTCCCCCCCCCCAGTCTAAGGAGCAATAACAGGGTGTGAAAAATCATTATTTGCTGAGAACTCTGGTGTAAATTAAAAAGATCACACCTTCCTGTCACACTTCTTGTTTCCTTGAGAAGGCTAGGATGAGATGAGCAAAATCCTCAACGATGAAATGGAATTCAGCACAGAATACATTTTACTGGACAGATAATTCATATTCCAGGTTAAAAAGAATTCCAAGTTAAAAGCTAGACAGAAAGAGAACAATGCTATAAGTTTGCCATTGTAAAAGGAGAGCTTTAGTCACCAGGTTATATCAAGAGAAGTGGACGAAGCACACTAAATACAACTGCAGAAATAAGTCTATGTACTATTTGAATGATGTCTACTACACCACCACTAGAATGGGGTGGCATCTTGACCATGCCATGCTACCTGCCCACTCAGAAGCATAAATGCACCACCATTCGCCCCATATGCAGCTAGGGGATTGGGCCACAGAGGAATAAACTAAGGCCCAGTACTATGTGTGTCCCACACTGCCAGAAGGAAATGCTAGCCTAGCTATGGTTCACATTTATTGGGAGGGGGTCTGTCTTCTTTTCACTAGGCTAGATGGTATTTCGTATAACACTGTTCCAATGGACGTTTTCCATCCAAGTAACAAAATAACAGCTGGGAAGTGGGGGTGATTTTCACTGGGAGCAGCAGCAGCAATACCTGTGCCAAATTCTTTGTGCTCTGGGTACAAGCTACCCCCTCAAATGAAAAACTTTTACATTGATTTCAATGTAATGGTTAATATATTTGTATATTTTATTGCTGCACCCCGCCCTGGGACCCTCCCCCCTCAGATCTGGTGGGGTGGGGGCATTGGTAGGACCCCAAGAGCAGCACATGGGGAAGGACAGGAGACGTCGTTCCGTTGGGCAAGAGGAAATGCTTCTATTGGCAGAACGTTTGTTTAACTGTGATGTTGAATTCCTTCCCTAACAAATAAATAAATGAACAATGGGTGGCATGCAACTCAGTTTTACTCAAATTTGATTCATTAATGAATAGGTAAAAGGTAAAGGTAAAGGACCCCTGGATGGTTAAGTCCAGTCAAAGACGACTATGGGGTGCGGTGCTCACCTCGCTTCAGGCCAAGGGAGCTGGCGTTTGTCCACAGACAGCTTTCCGGGTCATGTGGCCAGCATGACTAAACTGCTTCTGGCACAACAAGACACTGTGACGGAAGCCAGAGGGCACAGAAATACCGCTTACCTTCCTGCCACAGCAGTACCTATTAATACTCTTGCACTGATATGCTTTCAAACTGCTAGGTTGGCAGAAGCTGGAACAGAGCGATGGGAGCTCACCACCGTCGAGTAGATTCGAACTCCCAACCTTCTGATCGGCAAGCCCCAGAGGCTCAGTAGTTTAGACGACAGCAGCTAAATTAACCCAATTAATTTCATTGGGTCTGCTCTGAGTAAAGCTTAGTTGAATACCACCCAGTGAGTTTTATTATTTCCATGGA